TTTTTAAACGTTTTAGCGGGTATAATTTGCTATGTGGGTATTTTAAATTAGTCTGTTGGAATTTGAAGTTTTTGATCTCTACTATTTATCATTATTATTAATCAAAGAATTATTCTGTCTGTATGTATGTATGTATGTCTGTACGACCGCCCATGTGCAAATTAGATGAAAAATAAGAAGTTGCATAGTTACCATGGTAACGGTGTTCAAAAGCCAGAGGCGGCTATTGAGGGCGTCCAGGCGTCCGTGGACGCCTTAAAATTATTATCTGGTGGCTGGTGCTTAAAATAGAAATATCAAATAGTAATTAGTAATAGTGTTAGGAAATAACAAATCGCAATGTAAAGGTCTTCATTTACTATCATACGGTTTAATGTAAGCGCACGCATGATCTTCGTGAAATTTTGTGTTGTAGGGAGTCTAATCCTACCTCTGGACTACTCAGCCGCGCAGTTTTAACACATAGTTAATTGTAAACGTTACAAAGCACATCGTGCGCATCCCACTACAGGTAATCTATTATGATTTGCCTCGATTTGGGGGTTCAGGACCCTTTTCAATTTGACTGCTATATGATACTGCGCGGCTGAGATCGTACACGTGTGGTGTCCTGTTTCACCCATGTTATAAGTTTTTGTTTTTGTTTGCTGTCGCCTGTAAAGTGTTACACATTACATTTACAAGGCCCTGTATGTAATGTAATCGGTAGTTTGGAGGGATCAGCTTGAGCCGGCTCCCAAGCCCCCCTCCCCCCCAGTCCATCGATTGGACCCCCAACAAAACCGCCAGCCAGCTCCCACGAGCCGCCTCTGTCAAAAGCGCACATGCACGTGCAACGATTTGCGAATGAAATTTTGATCGGTTTTGTGGCAATTTCATTGTGTTCAGTGCGAGCTGCATTTTAATCAGCTGTATCTTCGGTTGTGACGGATATATTTTGATGCGATAAAAGCTGACTACCAAAGAAAACTATTAGCTTCCTCCCTGTGACCGCAGGCTTTCTAGTTGTTAATGAAATGCTCATTGTAGCCAGTTATTTTAGATTTTCGTCATCATATATCTCCCGCAATAGTTCTATAACTTTCTTTATTTTGCACTAAGTTGACGTGTATTGACAAATTGAACATGGAATCGTTTAAGATCGCTTTCGAGACACCTGGACAAAAACTACTCATGCTATTGTGCTTTTTATGGAGAAATGATAAAAAATCCCCAGCCTAAATATAGTATACAATTGTAAAATCCATTTATGCAGTTTGAAGTTAGCCTTGGCTGACAATGTCATTTCGTTTACATTCGTGGCCGAGATAGAAACTCATTGCCATTTATTGATTGAATTACACTTAAAAAAGGATACTCTTAATATATTTAATCCAGCTACAATGGTTTCGTCTCTTGCGGACAAAACCATTGCAGCAACCTGACAGGTTGCTAAACTTTCGCACCACAGCTCTATCCAAGTCAAGAGGCGGCACATCACAGCACCACTAGGGCAGCCTGTTTAGATGTACAAACCATGCCTGCTTTTGAATTTTTCCAGTAGCATCAGATTAAATGAATTTACCTTGCAAGATGTGTCCTGGCCTGACACACATGCCACGAAGTGACTCAGAGTAAGAGGGCCTTCATTTTAAAATAAGTTCATGGCATGAGACCAACACAACCAACTTCATTTTATTTGAAGCAGTCCAAACTCCAACAGTTCCAATCACATTGTAGCAAGGATACAAGGTATCGACGACACATTATAGAGGTCATTGGTAATTATGTTCTTGAATACCTATTAGATTCTGGCATAACCAATCTGGGTGATCTGGAAAAGTTCTTTTGGTAAGGGCACTATTCCCATTGAAGTGAAGATACAGTGTACAATCTCAGTGTTCAAGAGAGGGGACAAAAAAACAGTGAATTATTGACGGATCTCACTGAATTCCTGTATCATTAAGATATTTGAAAGAAATCTTCGAAAAAATGTAATCCTTGGCGAGTACAGCTGTGTTTCAGCTCAATAGAGTATGGTATCAGAAATATTAATTTTTCTATTTCAACAAATTATGAAAATGGTACCCATTTTGCCTACTTGTTCCTCAAATTTGGGTCAAATGGGCATAGGCATCAATGGGGTTTATAGGTTGACCACCTTGGGATGAGAAAAAAGGTCCCCCGCTTTCAAAAATCTGTCCATCAGCCGTCTAGACCCCTATGAGAACTCCTTCTTTGTACAAGCTTCTGCCCAAGACCTTAAACACTGTAACGGATCTTAACGCATTTTAAGCAGCTAGAGTGTATGTTGACAAAGTCCCTGCTGGCTGCTACACTCTGCTGCCTGCTACACTCCGGGTTACATGACAGCATGCAGTAACTCATTATTAGACTGGAACACCCAGTCTGTATCTATAGAAACTATAAATTAAGCTACAGGGTACAATGGATAAGCAGGCTGATATTGGAGAGAGCAGACTGAATCATGCACCAACTCAATGAAACTAATATGAAACTAATAAATCAATGTTTTAGCTCATTTTACAAAGTCAAATATTTAAAACAATTAAAATTGTATAGTGCTCAATTTGTAAATGACTAGTTGATCTTTGCTATTGGAAGTTTGTCAAGGACTGGCAGCTAGCGGGGCAAGGAATGCACGGGCTTAGGGGCTTTTGTGCACACCAGAACACTAGCTCGGTAGATTTTTGGAAACTAGAAGGACTGAAAACTAAAATTGTTTTTGATGGAGGCTGAGGCATGTTTTTGAGAGGGACGGTATAATAGCTTGTGGTAACAACTGGCCTTTACTTTAATAGGATGAAGTTTTAGTTTTAGGACAGGAAGAAGGCATTAAGAAGATTTGCTCTTTGTTTACAAGGCAGAATATAAGCAATGTTGGTTATAATATGTATCAATATCTAGATCTTCGTTTATCAATTTTCACTAAATGGGTTTAAAATTTTAATAGGGAGGGAAATTCATCAACTTTATTAAGTACCTATCAAAAATAAATCTTATATCAATGTAATATATTAAAAATCATAATCCTAAGTCTAATAATAAATCCGTTAAAAACACTTTCTCACTACACTGCGCTCACACACGTTAGTAAGACAAAGGAAAATGCACACCCAGCTAATTTTCAATTTCAAGATAATCATTTTGGATGTGTGGACCCTAGGGTAGACTTAATGTCAAAATTTAGATTAGAGCATTCGAAATCTTTGTTTGTCCAATCAAGATCAGCATGGTTATGCTGGTTGACGAGCAGTGATTGCTTCATCCTAGACTTCAGGCAGGCCACACTTAGACAGTGGTCACGTATACCAAGCTTAGGCACAATTACGTTCCAAATACGAGTCGTTCTGCTATTGAAGTTGTCAGGGGGGTCTGCTTGGCTTAGTATAAGGGTGGGTTTCCTACTTGAGCAGGTGAAATTTTCATGGAGGGAAATCGGAGCACGGAATTTCATGATTTTATAGAGCTCAAGGAAACAATGGTAAGTGTACAGGTTTTGGACGGCAAGTATTCCGTGTTCCTTGAACAAAGGTTTCGTGTGCTCTTTCAAGAAAAATTTTTTGTTCAGATTTTGGTTGCCAAACGGTCGAGCACGAGCACAGGTCTTAAATTTATCTAGGTATGCCTCCCTGTCGCCAAACAGTACCCTGAGACAATATTTTTGTGCTTTGAATACAGAACTTATACGAGTTTTGGCTGCCCCACCCCAAACCGTGATACAATAGGAGAGGTGTGATTCAAATAGAAAGTAATACAACTGGCGGTGTAAGAAATCTGGGAGGGAGCAGCGTAGGCGGCAGAGAGTTGATGTTGCATGGCTGAGAGAACGCCTAAGTGATTTTATATGTTCTTCCCAGGTTAGCTTTTCATCGATGACGACTCCCAGAAACTTAGCAGATGCAACTTGTTTTATTGGAAAGTTATCAATGGTTAGAGTATATTCAGAATTATTGTCAGTCTGGGAGGACGATGCTGGTTTAAAGTGAATGAAACAGCATTTAGTCAAGTTGACATGAAGTTTGTTTGCTCGCATGTAGGAATATAAACTAGCTAAAAGAGAATTACCACGCATATACATATATGTATGCCTCCTTTTTACTTTTTTAGATTTCCCAGTCACAAATATATTGGTGTCATCAGCGAAGGTGACAAATGATCCCAAACTGGAGCTGTTGGCGATATCATTAATATATAGGAGAAATAAGAGAGGTCCAAGAATCGAACCCTGAGGGACTCCAAACTGTATTTTCAAGGCGTCAGATTTCTCACCAACAACTTCAGTATATTGTGATCTATTTGTTAAGTAACTTTTTATAAGATCATTTGCCACCCCACGTATCCCATAGCCCTGTTATTTGACAAGTAATGTACCATGATCTATTGTATCAAAAGCTTTGCTAAGGTCTATGAATATGCCTAAGACATGATGCTTAAGTTTTAGAGATTCAGTTATAAGGTTTACTGAGTGGGGCTAGCCCGGGCTACCTGCCTACCCCAATTGTCCGTCTTGGTTTACTGTTTTACCAGAGGGTTCCACTGTTGAGAAAACCAGCTACTCCGTGATCCCGAGGCCCGGCACAGTGATCTCACAGACAACACATCAGATTTCTAGACAATTGTCCAAGGACCCACCGCACCAAACCTTAAAATCAGGGAGTTGCTGGCTCCCTAACCAAGGAACTGAAAGATCAACAAGCTAGAGCTGTTTTAAGTTGCAGATTCACCAGCAGTCACAGATGTCACTGATGTATTCAGAATGTATCTACATTGTCCTCGACTATAACAGGATAAAACAAACAGTTTATTATGACATAAGTTTGGTTTTTAATAAACTTATTTTGTCACGGTAGAAGGGATTTTACCATTCATATCAGAATCGTTCAAGGTTAAGGTTATGGAAGCTGATGTACCCTGCACGTAGTAACTTGTTATGCCATATATGTAATATGTATCTATTTCTCTGATCATATTTTCGACTGTAGTTACCAATAACCATAAGGATGCTAGAAAGATCAGTGTTTGTGAGATGACGAGAAGCAGGAAATGCCTTTTACGGGTAGAATTAAGATAAAGATATTATCTGCAACTTCCTTATTATTTCCTACACTCCCTGGTGGTAAATCGCTGACAACACTAGAGCCGTATTTGAGGTGAGTTAGCGTTTTTTGAATGTCATTTTAACTGTTCAAGTCAATAAATGAACTACTTTAGCTTTGTTTTTATTAGCTTGTGCATTTGAAGTCTGTCCTTTTTTACTCTCTGGTTTATTTTTGGTTTCACCCAGAAAGTTTCAGCAAGAACAGTATGTTTTACATTATGATAATCTGAACAGTATGAGATCTATAGATTGATGCAATATCAAATTTTTAATTGATTCTTATCATTCTTATCATTCTTATCATTCTTATCATTCTTATCATTCTTATCATTCTTCTCATTCTTCTCATTCTTATCATTCTTATCATTCTTATCATTCTTATCATTCTTATCATTCTTATCATTCTTATCATTCTTATCATTCTTATCATTCTTATCATTCTTATCATTCTTATCATTCTTATCATTCTTATCATTCTTATCATTCTTATCATTCTTATCATTCTTATCATTCTTATCATTCTTATCATTCTTATCAGGGTAAGTGTCGATGGGGAAGTACTTGGTAAGACAGCTGCAAAGCCTAAAACTACGAACCCCGTATGGAACGAAATATTCACCTTATACATCTTAGCCGGAACAAAGTTAGGCATGACGATCTTCCATAAGGTTAGTACAATTATTTTTGATAAGAGAAACAAATTATGATCGTTAAAAAAAGTGGTAAATTCTCTCCTTAACCCCAGACTCCCTCCCTTGCTCAGGCCCTCGTTCCTCCGGACCCTTTTATTGCACACATTGACATAGACTTGGACGAGCTGAGTGGAATGCCCCCTAACGAAATATGGGTAAGTGACACTATTCAAAGCTATTAATGTGACGTCTTAAATAAAGTAGCGACCATCATGGTTGCAAAAAAGTCTCGAATATTATGCTGAGTAAATACATGCTTAGTTGGGTGGATACTAGTACAGTAATCTATATTAAATATTGTATATCGCTAATGTTACACCACTTATGTATCGTAAGTGGTTCGGTATCAAACATTGACTAAAACATGCTGATCCTATCCAATCAGAAAGGAACTCATTTAAGGATAGTTTTAAATTCGTTTAACCCGAGCAAGTTGGACGCATGTAATACACAGAGAGCACAGGCTCTAGGCATTTGTTTTAATATTAATAATGTCACCGTACATATTATATTAAATGCTGGCTAGAGAGAGAGAGAGGGAGAGTAGAGACAATGTACAGAGCTAGCTTATTTCGGGCCCTGTACTAATACCCTATTGGCCGTTTATTGAAAACCCATTAATAGGTGTCACGCTGGGACACTGGAGCAAGGGCACATGTCCCTAAGTGCTAGCTAATATATCAACTTGTCATTTGCTTTATACACTCGGAAAAAAGTAACCCCTATTAAATGAGTGTCATGGAATCATCATCAGGCTCAGTTGTTGAGTCGTACTCTTTAGTAGCTGAGAAAATGTGTATAATGGTGGGAGAAGGAACAAGTGAGTGTTTAATTTTGGTTTATATTTAATGAACATATTAATTAATTAATTAATAAATCATTTAATTTCAGTTGCCGTTGGAACCTGGCGGAAAACTCCACATGTTCCTGGACCTTGTCCTCGGAGAGGGTCAGTTATTTAACTTATTTCTTATTCTGTTTAGTATAGTATTGTTGTTTATTGCTCTGTAAACACTGATAGTATCAGTACATTTCAATATTTAGTCACAGTTGCTGCCAACTTCACAACAGATCTTTCAGCTTATTGCTATTGACATCAAAGATATAGTAATATAGCAGCAATATAGCAGCATATAATATAGCAGCAAGTGGTTTCCACTGTACCTGGCACTGGATATGAATTCTTTGACTGTCACAATTGCGACGCGTTTTACTTTCAATTCAATTATTCAATGCCGCTCAAAGTTTACAGTTTCCAATTTTGGAGTATTTAAGTGCACTTAGGAACAACGTGTGTGAAGCACCTGACATTAATACTTTTACGTGTGTAAACTTCAGAGGCTCGCGTGTAAATTTAAATTTAGTATAACCAACTTCTGCGTTATTTACTTGCAGTGTGTTACTATTATACCTGTATTGTATTATCACTTTAAGTAGGTTTTCGCAGTTCACACCATAGCTCAAGTATGTGTGTTCTGAATAAATTAGTATTCAATACTAAGTCCTCGCTTGTTGAGCAGCTGATTGCTTTTAACACCTACCTTGCCCAGAACAGTGAACAATAACTGAACTTTGAAACTGAACATATTATTTGAACATGCGTGAACATGTGGAATGTGGATCTTAATCTGAGCCCCATTAATTGGCTGAATCTCACAGCCTAATTTACTCTGTGGTAAAACCGGTAAAAAGGGGGAACCGCAGTGCAGCCTGGCCGCGAAAATCTGGCTGCTAAAATCTCGAAATTTTTACAAAATTACATCAAATGTTGGAAATGTTGCCTGTTGTGTAATAGATTAAATATATGTACTTGCAAGTAGTGGTCATGCTTCTGTTCGAATAATGTGCGATGAAAAATGCCCATATCGACACTCGACTCTATCACTCACTTGAAAAAATTTAGAATACTGATAACTGTAGTACGTTAGCTCAAATTCTGGCTTCACTTCATATGAACAGATTCCTGACCCAGCTTTGACAGGCCATGAAAATCCTTCAAAGGGTTGTAATTAAAACGTTAAACGTTAAGCGGTAATCGCTAGAGATACTTTGCATACCATCCGCTGCCAAATTATAATGTATGAGGAGGGGTGCATCTTCAGCAGCCTGACAGTTCATTTTACGAGGGGTTCATCTTCAGCAGCCTGACAGTTCATTTTACGAGGGGTTCATCTTCAGCAGCCTGACAGTTCATTTTACGAGGGGTTCATCTTCAGCAGCCTGACAGTTCATTTTACGAGGGGTTCATCTTCAGCAGCCTGACAGTTCATTTTACGAGGGGTTCATCTTCAGCAGCCCGACAGTTCATTTTACGAGGGGTTCATCTTCAGCAGCCTGACAGTTCATTTTACGAGGGGTTCATCTTCAGCAGCCTGACAGTTCATTTTACTAGGGGTTCATCTTCAGCAGCCTGACAGTTCATCAGGCTGGCTGTTCATTTTACCTTAACTTATAGATACACACTTACTGGTTACTGTAGGCAAGATGCTTAGTTTTACATGGAAGCTTATTTGAAATAAGACCAACTAAACGATGTAGTTACGAGCAAGTTCATCGTTTATTGAGATAAATGATAATAACTCAGTTTTGAGTTCAGGACTAGCTTGCTAAGATAAATTCAGATCTTCCAGCTCTCACTGGTGTTTTGGTGGTTCATTTCTCAACAGTTGCCAATTTCTGGCCTCTAAATGTCAATTTTGATCTTGCAATTTTGATCTTTTAGCGGCCATCTTTTCGCGGCCGTGCTATAATATAATGTGCAGTACAGCAGTACATCAGTACAGCATCAAATACTATAGGACTGTTTGACTATTTGATGTGCTGAAAAGTGATAACACGTTTTTATGCAGAAAGGTATGGAACTACAGGACAGTAAAAGTTCATAACTTTCTGCAGACTACATAACAATATAGAACTACAGGCTGTAAAAGTTCATTACTTCCTCATTTTTCTGCAGACTACATTTTATCCGTATAACGACAAGTTTTCAGTGTTATCGGTGCAGTGTTCATTGGCGCTCAGTTATAGTTAATAATTATGGTAATTATAACGAATACTAATTCTCCGTGGGCCTACAACACATATCTAGTGTTCATAAAGTACAATTTCCTGTAGAGTTATAAAACATCTGACAATAGCTTAATAGTTGCATTGTTCTCTATGCACTGTGTGAACTGTATACTAATGTAATTAGTAATAGTGGTAGATACAATTATATTGACTGTGGATAAAATCCATCACAAATGAGTAATATGTATAATAGATTTCGCCTGTGTCGTTGATCATTACAATAATATGTGAGACTATTATTGCGAAACAACCACTAACTGTTTGGTTATTACAAAGTCAACAAATTTCATTACATTGTAAAATATTGAGACCCTGCCCTTGAAGACTAAACCACATAGCCGATGACAGTCGCTAGTCTAGGTCGGCAAGCAATCACTCCCACCTGACGATTCTCTGTACGTATATATAAGTATATATACTATACTATTATATATAGTAAATAAGAGAGGACGGACTACGGAGTGACTGTGAGTGTCATGTTATACGAGCCCGCGTATGTACCAGGTTACCAGGTATGTAGTAGTGCTTAGCAGGTGTGTCAAGGTCCAGGCTTCTGCATTTGGGGAGCGATGCACATTCTAATTTTTACTTTCTACTTTCGGTCCTTGATTTCGAATTCTCTTCTTTTCAATTTCTTTAACAGCCAAATTAACAACAAATAGACTTGCGAATGGAGCAGTAATTCATGTGGTGTATTGGGTATTGGGTTATAGAAGAATCCGTTAGAAGGATCCGCCTTACTTTTGGGCGCGTGCGAAATGTTCGCAACTGCCTTTGTCGCCATGCAACTTATAAAGTAACATACATTATATTAATATAAAACCCAAGCAACACACAATACTAGTTTTAGAGTTATAACTTCTGGCAGTTCATGTATTTTACAGCAACTTTATAGACATATCAGTTTTTATTTAAATTCCGTGCTAGAGAAACCTAAATATGATCACAAATTCCACAATAGAACTGACTTTCATATTATCAATTATTGACAATAATTTACACTTTACAATTCCATCCTGCATGTTGCATAATCAGTAAAATGGTAACTTTACTTCTTGATAAATCTTATGTAGTTAACCACGACAGAATCTTTAGTAAAATTATAGGCGTTCCGAATACTGATGGTCCGAATTCTGGTCCACAAAAAGCCAATAAGTTGATCGATATCGAGCACTTAAACCCGCTTTGTCAATTTATAGATTATCTGGAGAGTGGAGACTTATAAATTCAGGTCAATCTCGTTTATATGACCATTCGTGGAGCATTTTGTGAATTAATGTAACACTAGCTATTGCTTAGTGCCACTCATGGGGTAGGGATTAGGAAAGTAAGCTGTAAAGAATGAAATTGTGCTGATCAGCCAAACATTGATCAGATTGTGATGATCAGAGGAACTGTTTTTAAGTCAGCTGCCTCCCCCGAAACAGCGCAATCTCATTAATCTCTAAATGGCTGCTCTTGAGAAGAATTATACCGTATACCGAGAAAAATGTGCGGGCACATTCGACAAATTGTATTTAATGTGTCGTTTGTGTTACAGCGAGTAAAGCCGTGAATTGTGGTGTGTTCTGGTGTGTCAAAACACAGCGCTAAATTGTAAATTTCAGGTTTTACTTTATTATATATTTACTTTATTATAAGTGAACCTGACTCCTGGAGATTTGTGGGAAGTGAAAGTTAAGTTAAAGAGTTTAATTTAAAAAAGGAAACAAATTTAATTCGTCGTGGGTGGGGTATTTAATTCAGGTTATCTTTGTTGATCGGAAATGAAACTTTCTAAATCAGCTCTAAACCAGAAGGACCCTGCAATAAATTAAAGTCAGAGCCCTGGGAGAGATATTTGTTTGCAAGCTGGGGAAGTGGGGAGTGTACCAAGCTGTGATTGGTACAGGATTTATCCTGATAATCATTGGGAGGACACCAGTGACGCAGGTCCCACCTCTCTCTAAGCTGTGTGCTAGATGTAGCAATCATTCAGACTCATTATCAGGGTGACCTTCTCTGGTTGGTGCTTATCAGGCCAGGCGTTGTTAGACGTGTCTAGAGGTTCAATCCTACACTATCTTACACAATCCTACACTATCCTACATAATCCTACATAATCCTACATAATCCTACATAATCCTACATAATCCTACATAATCCTACATAATCCTACATCGCCATCAGTGGATATCAAACGTGCAGGAGTTCAATATTATTGATTTAATTTAGATGAATTACCTATACTAGCAGGGTACCCTTCCTCTGGCGACAAAAATTCTTTACTTTTACATAATTTTACTGATACCACGTTTTCATTTTGTAATTTTGTTGGGTCAAATTTAAAGACAGCATTTCCAAATGTTGAAATTTCAAATAAAAATCCAAAACAAACTTATTTCAAATAACAATCAGAAATTTGGGCAGCGGTTCCGCCAGTGGCAGCAGCATCTGCCAGTTCTAAATCGTATTTTTGTTTCAATTGACCCCCATGTGCAAAGAGCAGCACACTACTTTGGAGTCGAAACAATATTGTACTGCAGTAAGTGCACAGTTTTACGTGCATTGAGAATCTTATCAGCTATGTATAAAAACAAGATTCAATAATTAGTGACGGCAATTATATCCATTTAGGAGTTTAAATTCACGTGACTTGAATACTTGTTTTATTCGAGACGTTATCAGTTTTGCACTCTCCAAATTGATTAAAATAAACATTTCTATGACTTACTTACTTATTTATTCACTAAGTTGCTTTAACAGTTAAACAGACAATTGTATAGTTTCTTGTACGGATTTTCAACTCTGTAAATGCAATAAAAAATTAATAAATTGAAGTTGAACATCATGTTAAACTTAAATTATATAAAACTTAACAATATTTCCTAACGGGTACACGTACTCTAGTTCGACACGTACTGTAGTTCAGGCGAACTTAAATTGCCGAACTAGAGTACGTGTTTCTTCCTAACGTTGAGTTTGACTCCTTGCTATCCTCAGAGAAAAACTATCCAGCTAAATCCTTCAAGATTCGACAGTCTGGAGGGTTCAACCAACACCAGAGACGAGGGGCCGTCAGGAGACGGATACATCAGGTAACTTCTATATGAGGCTAGAAGACTAGATCTGTAATCAATCAAAACATTATACTAACAAATTTCAAGTATCAAGATTACAGAGTGTAGTCTGTTTTTGATAAAAATATGAAATGACTTGCCATGTAGATGATAGCAGCGTCAACACAACGCACAAGCTGTAGACTCCATAGTCCGAAGTATACTTTTTCAAGGTGCTCGTACTGTATATTAGGACGCAATGAAACTACCGGACCACGATGTATGGGGACTTTCCACCCCATGGCAACATTAAAATATATCGACTCTGTTACATCGTTTCCTGTTAATATAAAACTCCGTTACAAAATGAACTGGGATCTGGCAATACTACACCTTAGTTCGATAAAATATGATAAAGTAATGTATAACTAGACTTAAGTAATATTGATGTTTGAGATTGAACTGTGCAAGAATTGGATCATCTCTCACTATCATTGAACTCATCCATGCTTCCATGGTTGTGATGTGGTGGTCAATTGAAGTTTATGGGGTACTAATAAAGTAAGGACACTATAAAATTAGAATTGTGTGTCCCTTCACAGCAGCCATTTTACTGGTAATTTGGTTGGTTGAGGCTTGGCTCCTGACTCAATATAATAGTCAATCAGTACTATTAGAGTATTAGGGTTATCAGAATTAAATAGCTTTGATTTATCTATTTATTTACGTACAAGCCGCAAGCTAAACTTAAAACTTAAATTTAAATAAGACAGTCTATCATTATCAATGTTGAAAACAACTGCTCGTGCTCGTCACTTCCTAATTAATTAATAAACTTATTACTTACTTTATGTTTACTGTTTATGTTTAGTTAATATTAATCGGGATACATGACACTAACTTGCTAATTGCTAAATGTCATTGTTATTAACCAGCTCAACTCTGACTGAAAACATACAGTGTAGATTGAACAATAATGTGGATATCATATCTGAATATGAGGGTCACACGTGACACCTGTCACGTGACCCCCGGTTCATTAAGCTACAATATGTCTCCACGTGACTCATTTGTCCCGGGCCGAATTAGATTTCATGTATCCAATCCTGGTATTAGATGTTCGCAAGCTGCATACGTTATCGTTATTGGTATTGACCATGCTAAACGCCGAATATTAGCTCTCCAATACTCATGATTGCAATGGTTCCTGGAGATAATGATAACTTTGATATGAAGGGTTCCTGCCCCCGACAAATGGGGGGCTTGGTTAAGCTAGAGAGTTTCAATGTGGGGTTGTAGCTCTTTTCAGGCAATGACCGTGTATATAATTATAATTTCGAGCCTCCAAAAGTGCAAGTTTCTATAATTGTAGACTGCAGGTAATCTTTGTAGACTGTAGGTTACTTTGCGGGGAGAACAAATAACTTTGCTGAGAGAGTTTGTTCTCTTAATATTAACGAGCTGATGCAATCTACTTATACTCCTTTCAAGAATTGAGAACTATCATGCCCAGGTCTGTACGTTTAGCCTATTAGTTATTACCGTCAGGTATGGTTTTACTATCTAGAGTCTAGTTGTAACTGAAAATTAGTAATTCTATCTATAGTCTAGTTGTAACTGAAAATTAGTAATTTTATACCGTAGTAAATATTTACTAATGTAAATATTTACTAATGTAAATATTTACTAAATAGTTACCTAACTAAGATATCAAGTGGAGATGACGCAACCCCCAATAATGGTAAACCAATGAAGTAGGATTGCCTATAATCGGTCCTGTATCCGTGATACACACAAAATCAGAGCAGCGAACAATTACCCGTATATTCTCTGGTTAACTTGTCAGTTTTATAATAATATATTAACTGTGAGATGTTTCATATTCTGGCAGGAAAGGGATTAGGTAATACCTCTAAAGCTCTAACCACGTGATCACTGTTATGAGATCGGTTTTAGCGAAAGTTTGAGCCAAATGATTAGTCGATACTGTGAAACTCGTAATCCCAAACAAGTTCAATAGCTCCACGGTTGGTACAAATTGAAAAGTTACTTGTACAGATTGACTCATGATTGGTACGAGTTCGAATGTTAATTTTACAAGTTCGTCGAAGTGATTATACGAAGTGTATAATAGAATTAGGATATTACAGAGAAGATTAGCATGACCCATGTGCCTGGAATCTTGATGAAATATAAATTCGTGTAGCGTTCCATATTTTGCGTGGGCATGGACCATGGTCACCATGTAGATAGTAGCCCCCTACGAAGAAGAAGTTTATCGAAAGTTAGCCCCGTAATATCATTGTATTGTCGCCAGACATTAAATGTCCAAATTAAGCTGGCATATTTCTGGATTAGCTGGTTCATGGGTAATTATGAAGTCTATGGAGGACGACCGTTTGGAGTTTAAATCAGCGCTCGATTGGGGTCCCGGAATCGATAAGTGCTGAGATTTAGCATTCATCTCGGTCCCGGTTATTGTATTTAAATTAATTGGTTAATTAAATTAATTAACTCAGGTGAACCTAATAGTAACGCCCTTTAAAAGGCCATGCAATTTAAGCTTTACAATTTATATGATTTCTGCGAACAAGAATTGGGAATTCATAAAATATTACACACGATGATAGCCAATAAAGATTACAGATTTGCTAATCAATTTGATTATTCAAATTCTGATTAAAAGTAATAATTTATTTCCCTTCTTTAGATAATTGAAATAGTGACTCGGAGTTATAAATCCTACATGAATTCTATAAATATGCTGGCTGGTGCATAAAGCTACTGCTAATGTTTGGTTAGCCGTGAACTTAAATTATATTCTTTAGACAAAAATAATTATGTTTAACCGGTCAACCGGTTATTTAAACCCTTAAAGGCTATGTAAATTATGTAGCTAGTTAAATAAAACTAGGTAAAGTTAAAACGACTAAGGAGCTACCGTTAATTCATGAGCCAACCAAGTTGCAAATAAAACATTTGAAATCAAGCTTTACAACTTTTATTCGACAAATTATAACAAAAAAACTTGATTAAATTTAACATATTTTGTAAATTTCATGGTTGGAATGTTGAGTAGTGCGGCATGTCCACTGATCCATTTAACCAATAACCATGTAAATATTCTATTGAATACCTGGGAGGTCCTAAGAAAGGACCGGAAAAAACGACATAAATAGTTTGAACCATTAAACCCATTAAAACCATTAAAACCATTAAAACCATTAAAACCATTAAAACCATTAAAACCATTAAAACTGTTAAAACCACTAAACCGGTCGAAATGGTTCAGAATTCGATATTCTCCTTGTAGCCCTAATCCTCCCCTGGTAAGAACAACTAAATAAATTTCAGGGAAATAGACATAGTTCTACATCCATTCCCCCAAAAAAGCTTATTACCGCTTCACTTACGTAATGTCTGATATTCGATAACTCTTAAACAGAATTTATGTTTATCCGATTAGTCGCATTTATAACGATAGTAACGAGTTTAGAACACATTTTTGATTCCATCACTGTATCTCGACAAACACCGTATCTCGACATTCAACAAACAACGTATCTCGACATTCGACAAACACCATATCTCGACAAACACCATATCTCGACAAACACAGTATCGCAATTCAATATACAGTGTCTGACGATATATACTGTATATCGACATGTGATCTTTGTTATTATCAATATTATGCACCACATGCGCTCTTGTCATTGTACTGCTTTTGCTCTTCACCTGCTATCAAGAGGGGATCACATTGACTATAACAAGCGTGCTAATACGGTGGATCTTCGGCAAAGAGGATCGCCTGATCGGCAAAGAGGATCATATCATCAATAACAAGCGTGTGAAAACAAGGGTTCACGTGATGGTCCGTACCAGAATGTTGCATTCGATACCATGGCTGCTACTTCTCAACTCACCTTGACTTCGTTCCTGGAAGAAGATCCGGAAAAGAGAATGTTTCCTTTACAATCAAGGTTGCAGAGCACAAATAACCCTAGTGGAAAGACAGCTTGTTACAGCCCTTCTACCTTGGAGACAACTCAAGCCTCTCATCCCTAATGTCCGCTTATATCCTGTCCTGTCCTTTTTTGATTCTATGAGACAAGCGGACATAGACGGAGAAGTCACCCCCCCCCCCCCCCCCCTTCATGTCATGATTCTTGATTTTATTTGAGTTGATTTTTATAAAAATGGATGCCAGTCCTGGTTCCTGCCAAGATGTGATATTATGGAGACAGTTGTGAGTTAAACAGTATGTAACTTAATGAGTTGGGCCGGGTGTATTGTGTATATGGGAGCTACGACCTACAGTAGAAGACAAATAAGTACTACGGTAAATAATATGATACGGGACGGTGGACTATTTATTGGGTAAACATTCCATCAGGTTATGATTACAGGCAAGTAATTAAATCTCCGAATTGTTATTGTGATCCAGAGGTTCCTCTCTTTCCCAGTCTTTCGTTTTAATAGTATTGAATATGGTGTGGAGGCACACTCTCGATGAACGTTTTGACGTTGTTGTTTTCATATTGTCTCGAATTTTCTGTACACCAATGACAATTGACACTGCGACTAAAGGAAATAATATAACATTAACAAAGTAACAAAAATAACAAACAATAACAAACAATAACAAACAATAACAAACAATAACAAACAATAATAAATAAATACAGCCTATTTTTGATAATTTATTTGCTTGGACGGCGGACACTGTCCAAGGTAGTGAGAGACAGTTTCCTCTCCGTCACCGCACATAGGACAAGCGCTGGTGTTTGATTTGCTAATGGTTTGAAGGTGTTTGTTTAAGCCGCAGTGGCCCGTGATGAGTTGAACTGCAGTTCTGTTGTCTTGTCTGTTGTTGCTGAGTGTAGTGTTGTGGTTTTTTATGATGTTGGCGTGCTTGTGGGCGAGTGTCAGTTTGGTGTGTCTAGGACCATCAGTTAACCAAGTTTCCTGATTTAGTCTGTTGACTTTGTTGTCGATTTGTCGTTTGATGTAGGATTGTGGAATTGGACACTTCAAAGTGGATTCACTGATAGTACCAAGCTTGGCCAGCTCATCTGCTTTTTGTTCCCCCACAATCCGATGTGTGCTGCAATCCATCGTATCTCTAGCGTGTTGTTGGATCCGAGTGCATTAAGCGTGTCGTAACAGTCTCTTGTAGTTCTACTCCGCGTTGAAAGCGCAGAGATCGCTTGTAACGATGATAGACTGTCAGACCATAATTTATTTGCTTGTGCTACCATCTTTACTAGATAGAGAGACAACCAATTAAATAAATACATTTCATTATACAGAAACTGTCTTTTTTAGAGATTATAACACAATATTCTTATTCTTAGTATTTCCCGAAGATTTAAATCTACTCTATCTTGATAATGGCTGGTTCCCTAAAACCCTTTCTCCTACTTGTATCTTTTATGATGACGGCCGCAATCGAATGCCCCTTTGAACCCCTGGATGACAACTATGGCTCTGTTAGTGAGCCTGCATACACGATAGAAGAACTAGAAGAAAACATGGAAAAGGTGTTTGAACAAAAGAGCACTTCTTGCACACCCACAGAGAGAATTTTCCGTTCCTACTCCTCTGGAGCTGTCCTCTCTAGTGACGTAACCAAAGCAGCTGGAAAACATTGCGCCTTTCCGAGCGAATGTAAGCTCTCTAAACTTGGGAGCAGTCTTCAAGCAGCAACCTGCACCGAACTGCTGAGGATCAGAGATGAAATAACCAGCGGTGGATACACGGCCACATGCCGTCACGATCTTACCAACTGGAATGTGAACCCTCCAGAAAAACAAGGTTGTGGTGCTGATGGAGTATGTACTGATCCTGATTACAGCATCTTTCTTCAGAGGAGACTTTCTCCAGCAGGTTAGTAGATCGGTTTTTAAGTCTTCAAGTTGCGGACGAAACTTTCCATCTTATCCCAACATTGTTCACGGGGTTCAGGATGAAATGTTTTGACACCATACAATCTATTGTTGTTTATCCTATCACTTGCATCATCAAAGTTTACTATACTATCTGAAATCAACCTCCACCAGGCCTACGCCGATCTAGCGTTCAAGGACAATCTCTTCTAAAAGCTGGAGTACAAATAGACAGCCTGGTATCCTCCTCTTACGAGCGTGCTAAGAATTCTGCTAAGCAAGTAGGATACTGGTATGGGATCACTGAGGTTAAAGAGGATCCACTTCCTTTGGACAACGGTATACACGGCGCCAAGGATTACGAGCAGAAAGCTGGATATGAACCAAAGACTGATTCTGATCGGGGTTCAGATATCAAGAAAATCATGCGAGTTCGTATGAGGAATTGGCTACAACAAAATTGGGAACAGGTGACTGAAGGAGGGGTAAGGTTTTCTTATAGTCATGGAGGTACAATGGAAAATGCTTTCGGACACTCATTTGACGAAGGTGACTGTGCTTGGTCGAAACCAACAGACAATACATACGATCTGAACGAGCCCTTGAATGTGGTTCTAAGCAACAAAGAATTTCCAAATGAGATGGAAGTTGGAACAAAGAAGATTGACTTGTTTGCGGTGCTGAGCCCAGAGCAAACACAGAAGATGGCCCAGTGCACCGAACTGAGAAATGACTATAAAAATAATGATAATATTTTATCAATATTATCATCAATTTTATCATCAGATACTACGATTCTATCAGCTGACAAGAATGTGGACCTTGAAATAACAGAAGATGAATTCACCAAATTCTGTGAAAATTCGGTGGATACTTCAAGAGCATGCTCTAATCTATGGGGGACTATCCTTTCGCTGCAAGCAAAGCCGTACTGGCAGAAAAACACAGTTTCCACTAGCTTTTTCATCGGAGAGCATGCTTACTTTAACGGAGGGTGGTCTGAAAAAAAGCACAGTGCAGGGGGCTGGCAGTTTCCTTATCGTGGGACAACACTGGACACAATCAGACCCACAGTTTCAGAAATGAAACAAATCCTAGCCCCTTTGGACGAGCTGATAAGAGCTGATCTTGATGATAAAGAAATTAAAGCAGTTGTAGACTGTATCCCACAAGAAAGTACAATCCAACAGTTTAGCGGTTGTGCTTCCTCTTTGCTATCCTACAAGCCTGTACCAACCAACTCTCGACCTGAAGATGACATACATCTGACTGATGAATACCCCATTCAAGACAGAAATACCCCTACCCGACCACAATAACCATCACCCCTGTCTCTAACCCTCTGATGAAACTAGCCATGTGTTTGGTGGAGAAGAAACACATCACAGCAGAGAAGATGTCCCAGCTGATGGGTTGTGAATTATCTGGGTCAGCAAAGGAGGGTGCATCTTGCACACCCAATGAAAATGGATACAACCCTAGCTCCGGTTATTGTCACCAGTTCGTCTTTATGGTGGTGCTGACAGTGATCTATAACATTTTTTGAGAGCGGAATAGTCGGAAACTTACTCGTATTCAGTAGACGACCTTTTTCTTTAGAGTAGACTTATCGTATACCTTAGTTCATTTACTTATGGCGGGTTAAATTTGGCGGTGTTTCAGAAATTCCGCCATAATTTTACCCGTCATTATTTTTACCCGCCATAATAAAACCTGCCGAGTCAATTTTTGGAGTTCTGACAGGGTATATGACATAATAGTTTTATCGTTTCTTTATTACAGTAACCCTAGTGGAGACAGCTTGTTACAGCCCTTCTACCTTGGAGACAACTCAAGCCTCTCATCCCTAGTGACATGTCCTCCTTTGTCGAGTATTACGAGTACACCTGGGTTGGGTCCTCCTACCGAAATCTTACTTTCGCACACATCAGATGGAATCAACACGATGCTACAGCCCTTCTCCTTCCACGATCCAGCAACATAACAGAGGGATGGCACCACGGTTTCAAAAGTATGCTGTCCTGTTCTAACCCATCTATCTGGAAGTTCCTGGGGTTTCTGAGGAAAGGGCAGGGTCTGATTGAAGTGAAGATGACGAAGATGATGAGAAGAAGCTGAGCCAAGACTTGCTTAATGGAGGAGATAAGATGAAAGACTCCAGAGGATCAATACCAGCTTCCATGATTACTCAGCAGTGACAGATTACCTCAGTTGTATATTGTCGAGACCATATTACACTAACAGTATATTAACAAGTGAAAGGCTTAACTGAGGTCCACAAACTTTAGATTGTGCATTGGCGACTTATGGCGACTTATGTCGAGATACAGTGTACTATTTTGTGGATCAAATGGCGATATAACGTGCGTGTCGAGATACGGCTGACCGACAATATATCATTTCTGTACTCATTAATCAGAATACAAACCTTGGTCTATTAGTTTTTATGGTTATTTTTGTGAATATACCCTATTTAAATGTGTGAATATAAGTAAGTACAAGTAAATAAGTTACAAAGATTGGTTGCTCGTTTGGTCCCTGCCGTATAAAACACCCCATATTAATGTCACCTCCATTGTAGTGATTGATATCACTAGGACACACTATATCCTCATGGGAATGTGTACAATTATGTACACCACATTCCATGACGCCACATTCCGCAACACCACTTTCTTCCAAATCTTTTCTTTTCATATTTCAGCACAATTAGCCCTGTAATTACCAATGTTAAAACCAAACTTCATTGTGAAAATTTAATATACGTGCACACTGCACAAGGTTGAATGATGGAATAAGTTAGGGGCTGGCGAGGGTGGCGGGGGTGGGGCTCGAAAATTAGCGGTTAAATTCCAACTATTGGTTTTAAAGCCTCTCCAAATTGATTACAGTAAACTTACCTGTTTAGCCACGTAGTTACTTAAACACTTAAACAGACACCTTTACATCGTATACTGTCCGGATTTTCAATTTGTAAATGCAGTCAAGCAGTCATTACAACATTATACCGGAAGGGAAGGGGAGGGGTTCCAAAATTATCTATTAAATTTCAACTGTCTAATAGTTGTACCTTGTGTAATCGTAATTGCAACTTAGACGTATAGTTATACAATACAGAAAACTTCTGCAAATAGTGGCAAAGGTTGGTCATATAATGGCACCTTTAAATTCGCCGTGGGTGGTCACTGGCCGCCTGAAAGTAAAGGGAAAGTAAGGGTGGCTCCTGCTGCAGTACAAGGTAATACAGCTTCGTCACAGAGTTATATTATAGAAGCCATGTTTTGTGACAATCAGTTAAGATATCTGAAATTAATACTGTTCTCATTGTTACGTGTACTATAAGTATAACTAACAACAAAAACTATAAGTTTAACCAACAACAAAAACCATTTAAATGGGAAGTCTCGACCTTCAGAATGTAACCTCGATACTACTTAACTAACTATAATAGTTGTGACTATAAAATATGTCCATTATAGTCACAGTTGTATCATTAATATAGTTTGTCCCACTAAGTTTGCAGATTGTATCACAGTTTTGCACCACTGTATCACTGACCCCTGTGGGGAGCTAATATCTCTACCACCAGACGTACTAACACCTGTATTAGTAATACCTGTACGTGTAATACTATTACACACGTGTGTAGATGGGGCTAAACACCCACATCTCTCGGAGATGAAGACTTTAATTCGCACAGAGTCCCGACCATTATAATAAGAGCCTGCTATAGTTAGCATGGGCCCGCAATTCCGCTCACCAAGGGTCTGAGTTTATTGCACTGAATGTTATATAACGTGAGCCCTAACAACAATGTCAACCGCCCATGTGACATAAAAACCGCCCATGTGACATAAAAACCGCCCACGTGACACAAAGTACCACCTCACTGACCAAGAATGTGGAGCCTGGCCAAGAAATGTGGATAATAAGGGCCTGTTTGTACTACAACTCAGTAAACAACATCTCATTATACCACTAACATTGCTAACGGGGGTCCTTTGTGAGTTGAAGAGATTATGACATTATAGTCCTTATTATGGTATTAGTATTATGTAATCTATATTTGGGGGCACCCTGACCCTATTAATGGTGCGGTACATAAACATTGTACTAATGTTTATCAGGTGTAATGTCAGCTTGTCCAGAGTCCTATTGACTCTCCGCTAGGCTCTTTAGCAAAACATTACTGTACTTTCTTGCTCCATTAATGTGGAGGGAAAGGGAGGTGGTCACCGTCATTCGTCACAGAAACTACAGAAAGTGGGTGGATATTAAAGTGGAGATGGTGATTATCCAACATTATTCATTTATACGTGACTAATGAAGTCTGGTGGGCGGAGTTGAGGTGTAGTTGAGGTGTAGTTGAGGTGTAGTTGAGGCGGAGTTGAGGTGTAGTCCATGCAACATTGGGCAGAGATACGCTACAGTGCGTTATAATACAACTAGTGTAACCCGTGCCTTCGGCCTGGAATTCACTATCGTAGTTGAATTGCAAAAGTATAAACAGTGCAAAAATATGAAGTCGCCCAGTGGAAACCGGCCGCATTATGGTCAATTTAATTCTGAGCACCCAACACGTATCCAATAGTAATACTTAATAGGCAATCTTGCGGCTCCTGGCTCTACTGCCAAATTACCTAATTATATCAGGAACGTAGCCAGGGAAAAAATCGAACCCCAGAAAAAAGATAAGCCCCTAGTCCTCATGGTCGCCTGGTAACTGGGCTGTGTTTATGACTGCAGTCAGTCAAAGATTTGAACTGTGGATTAGTAAATATATGTCATTAAATCCAAGCAAACATTCTAAAAGACTTCTATAATTATAGTCAATAGTGTCCCCTAGACCGTAGGAAATGTAAAAATCTTAAGACGATGAGGTACCAAATTTACGTGAGTACTTGATTCTTTTCAATCCCAGTTTATTGCTGTCCTACAAATTTCTTTAATGCCAAATGTCGTCTAAAACACCCTGTTTCGCAAAAAATTTCCGGGGGGCTGCGCCCCCCTAGCCCCCGCCAAGGGGCTCCGCCCCTGGACCCCGTTGGGGGCTGCGCCCCCAGACCCCTGCCACAGCTTGATTGGACGCGCGGCTCGCTTCGCTCCTGGCTACGTCCCTGAATTATATACCAGAGCTGTGATTAGGGGAGCTGTAAATGGGGAGAGATAGTGTGAGAGAGAGAGAGAGAGAGAGAGAGAGAGAGAGAGAGAGAGAGAGAGAGAGAGAGAGAGAGAGAGAGAGAGAGAGAGAGAGAGAGAGAGAGAGAGAGAGAGAGAGAGAGAGAGAGAGAGAGAGAGAGAGAGAGAGAGTGAGACACTTTAGTACCACATTTGGAGTACAAAACCATCAATTAAACCACTTACCACCGGCCGATTTAGAAAAGCTTTGCTTATTGGCTTCGTCAGAGTTGTGTCTAAACTATACCGAAACCTCAGTCCCATAACTTTAACCATTTTCTTGATTAAGCCGCTCAGAAATTACACGCGCACGCACAGACAGACATTTTGGGATTATTAGTATAGATACAATGTATAATGTACCGTCACAATAGTGACTTTAAATATAGTGTGTAATATAGTAATATAATGTAGTTTGAGGAGTCCTCACTCTCCTCACGTCCGAAAATGGCGTTTCTCTTGTCGCTAATATAGTGCGCAACTGGTATTTGTTTTGAAACTTCCCGCCAGCCAGTCTGAGGTGACTCGCAGTCTGTCCTGATAATACGCTGGCAACCCTTGCGGGAAATTATCGGTTACCAGTGTTCACGACTTTTCTGGGATATAATTCCCGGAAAGAATTAAATATTGAATGCACGGCTAGCCTAGCGTAGTAGACATAATGGTCTTTAGTCCTGAAAATGTCTGCTGTGGTGGATCCCGGTCGAGATTATATGACATTAAACAATTTAATAATCATTTAAGTTGACATTTAATTATTTAATTGTCATTAAGGTTGACGATAGTTAAATAACAGGGTCGGAAACGTTACATAATATGTTACATAATATTACATCCAATATATTTCAGGTTAACGGGCACAAGTTCATGGCTCGCTACTTTCCACAACCAACATACTGCTCTCACTGCAGGGAGTTTATATGGTAGGTGGTAACCTAATGTGGTAACCTAATGTGGTTAGTGGTAATAGGTGGTAATAGGTGGTAACTTCACCGTGTCGGTGGTAACGTAATGTAGACGATATACACATGTATTTTGAAAGCTCCTGCAAATAAAACCCTTCGTATCATTTATATGTTTCAGTTAAAGTAAATACGTAATGTCTGGGATCCATGTTGGATAATATCTCCTCATTATTATCACTATTATCAATAATATACTGAAATATGAGTCTAGCGACAGCGACAGTAAATATTTACGTCAGTACTCAGTACACCCTGAGAACACTTCAAAGACTTTGATTGGGGCGTGTTAAATATCATCTTATATTTTAAATAAAATACAGCATTGTGGGAACCATACTGTTAAGAGAATGTAGACTCCACACAGTCCACATCGCATAGGTTTATTATATGGGAAATGTCTAAACTGATTTCTTTGATCAACACTTTGATATTATAAACCACAATTATTTACCTGATCAAATGTATTATGACGCAGGAGTGAGGGATCATCCTCACGTTTTATATTTCCAGGGGTGTAGTAGGGAAGCAGGGCTACCAGTGCCAAGTGTGCACGTGTGTGGTGCACAAGCGCTGTCACTCACACATTGTGAGCACATGCACGGGAATATCCGAGGCAACTGCCCTACCTGAGGTAAGTGTGGAATAATGCGGTTGTTGAGTTATACTCTTGTTCATTTTCACACATTTTCTCACATCACTCACAGTCAGCCGCTCTGACATGGTTAACCACCTTCCTTGTGTTGTTGGTAAATCATATGAGCGGGATATAAATACCTCATTTCATTTCAATCTAAAATATGAAAATCTGAGGCAACTGCCCTACCTGAGGTAAGTGTGGAATAATGTTGTTGTAATCTAAAATATGAAAATTTGTAGCATTAGAAATCATCAAGTTTTTGTGATTTCATTTTATTTATAAACAATATATATTTTAAATACCTGAAATATATCAATATTTGATTTATTTCAAAAACTTGGACAGAAATACGATATAAATTGTATACTGAGCTTGTCTGGTGCTCACCAATCACAAGTACCACATTATCTTTGTGCACATCAGAACCAGGAGGTGACCCGGATTGGCAATTTTGAGCTATCCCGGTCCCGATCCCGGTCAAATGCTGATTTATTTATTTATGATCCCGGTCCCGGTCCCGGTCCCGGTTAATTCGGGATTCTTGGTTCCCGTCCCGGTCCCGGTCCCGGACCCGGTCAATCACTCAAATTTGCCGGGATTTTGACCGGGATCTTTTACATAATTTCATTCACTGTGATTTTAAGTTTTTCCTTTCATTCATTTTGAATTTCATCTTTAAACATCCTTTGAGCCAAATACAACAATGTTTAAATTGCTAAACAAGTTTGAGTAATAAATTATGATCATGAATTAACCAGTAATCGACCGGAATTTCCGGTACCGGGAATCCCGGTACCGGGATTGGCAATTTTGAGCTATCCCGGTCCCGGTCCCGGTCAAGTCACATTTTTCATCCCGGTCCCGGTCCCGGTAAATTGATAATCTCAATTTTGAGCTATCCCGGTCCCGGTCCCGGTCAAGTCACATTTTGTATCCCGGTCCCGGTCCCGGTCAGGCCTGAAATCATGTCCCGGTCACCTCCTGATCAGAACTCATTTATCAACAGATGTCTCTGATCTGGATAACATGACCTGATGTGTAACGGCCTACGCCCTACACCTATATTAGGTCTTTATGGGCAGTAAAGCTTTAGTTAAGCTATCACATTCAAACTAACATAAATACTTATGAATTTGACGAGTGAAAAGTGTCGTGAGAAATTATAGATATGGGTATTATAATATGGTGCTATTTCCTTTATATGCACTACAATGAGTTGCACTCAACTTGAAGGAGCAAATTATAGAACAAATGAAACAAAGTTCAAATAGCAAGTTAAATATGCACTAAGATAAAAATTGTAGAAGTTTAAATCCTGTTTGAACCTTTGACTAGGAACTATCCTTTAGGATCTCCTTTTACCCTTGAACTTAGTCAACTTTGGGGTTTGGTGGCGATCACTTAACCACAATTATCGTTAAGCGTAGTAAGAAAATCAGCGTACTAAGAGAGTCGGCGGTTTCTCTACTCATTGTCTCACTCTCGACGTGTCTGCTCTGCCTCTTTATCACGTATTTAGTTTTCTGTGCTCCGTGCGCAGTATGTCAGTGTTATTTCCCTTGTAAACGAGATAATTCTTCTACTTGGTATAGTTGTGGACACAACAAGAAAATTGAGAATAATCTTGTGCGAGGGTAGGGACCCAGATGTCGTTTCTAACCCAAATAAACTTTAAGGAGGCTTCTCATCAGTAGCCGCACCTCCTTACTCGGTTTCTGAACTGGAATTCTATGGGCTTCCAGACGGCCAGACCGAGTATTACCACCCCATCCTTCTAGAGTTCATCACAAGTAGCACCCACCTTGAAGTTCTTTGACACCCAGACACACCCCATTGGCGAACAAACTTTGGATATAATCTTACATGCTCCCGAAGGAATCCCTGGTTTATGGTCTTTCTCATCGTCACCAGCACTTTCACTAGGTCACCAGCTCTTTCACTGAAGTCATCAGCCCTTTCACTGAAGTCATCAGATGTGACTCTGATCAACGGTTTAGTTGTGGACACAACAAGAAAATTGAGAATAATCTTGTGCGAGGGTAGGGACCCAGATGTCGTTTCTAACCCAAATAAACTTTGTGCTCCGTGCGCAGTATGTCAGTGTTATTTCCCTTGTAAACGAGATAATTCTTCTACTTGGTCAGTCTTTCCTGTGTTAATTGGTTAATTGGACCCAATCAATTTATTGTAATAAACGGCTTGAGAAGTGATTGACTTGATTTATGTAGATAACACGACAAATTATCAAAAAGCATAATTATCATGAACAATATATTAATATTCAGTTCATTGTCTTGTTAATTAATGATATTATGATACATATTCGAAGTAAATATGAAGATATTATGCATGCTCAATCAGTGTTATAATTGAATAATCTATTTAATGGCAACATTGCAGTTAAAATAATATTATGTCCCGGGACTGTTATCAGCAAAATAGCAATGGATACTTAGTATTACAGTGTAACGATTTAGAACAAACACTTACTATTTAGTACCTATATTTTAATTAATATTCGTAATAAGTAGCATTAAACATAAATTGGGGATGACACAACCTACTTCCAATGAATGATCGATTTCCAATATTTTCACCTTTAAAGTTTAATCATAAGATTGCTCTCAGAATTTAGCTTGTCTAGATAGATGAATGATGGTTAAACACTAGAAATTACCAATACGTTAATATTGAATTTTACCCGTAAATTTTGCCCGTAAATTTTGGGTTTTGGGTAAGGCATACAATATACAAAATAGCTACAAATATCATCTTGGTGATGTACAATTGTACAATATTGTTTTGGAATTGGACGTTTAGTAAATTACCACAATCCTGCACGGAGTAAATAATAAACAGTCAAATTGGTGGCTAGTGATAAAGAGCTGTATTTTGTTTTCTTCGGTTCACTCTCAGCGTTCTCTGGTGTGAAAAGAGATGGGGAATTATTAATCGAGGTAGAATGGCTCACTTCTTCAAATCTAGTGGAAAGCAAGATTTAATATTTTGATCTTAATACGACGACAGCTACTAATGATATTGCAATAAATTGTCGAAATAAATATGAAGATATTATACGTGTTCAATCAGTGTTATAATTGAATAATCTTTTTGCAACATTGCAGTTCATATAATATCATGTTCCGGAAGTGTTATCAGCAAAATAGCAATGAATACTTAGTATTTATAATTGGTGGTTAGCAAAATAGCAATGAATACTTAGTATTTATAATTGGTGGTTAAGATCTGTGATAATTACAATAGAGCTCCTCACGGTATTTCTACTCACAACGCTAGGAACTTTCAACTTTACTAAACGTATGTTTGCCGTAGAATCGATTAAAAGTGGTCCGGTCATGATTGGATTGATTTTCATGTTGATTGTTGATTGGTATGACCTATCGACAATTTCAAGCCAAAATCAGTGCACTAAAGTATTTAATACCTATATTTTCAATGCTGTTAAATACGTAGCGTTTCAAGCAAACGTATTTGTCGCCGAAAATTCGCGTATTTCGATTTCCACTGTGGAGTAAGAACGATTTTTTACAATAAATTTTGATCTGCGCGCGTATTTCGAACAAATTTTAGACGTATTCCGGACAAAATTTAACAGGGTCTAAATTTAATTTTTTTCGGGCTTATTGATTGGAAACTTCACGTATTCTTACGTATTTCTCTCGAACATTGAATACGCCGTATTTTAAGCCGATTTTTTGACGTATTTAACAACGATGTATATCTTAATCAAAATGAATTCTATACTTTTAAAAGTTTAAAATTTAATCATGAGATTGATCACTAAATTTAGCTCGTATAGATAGATGGTTAAACACTAGAAATTATTCATTACGTTAATATCGAATTTTCTGCGACAGTGCCGCCATAGTGCCACGAGAGTGCCGCCATAGTGCCGTCGGGATCCAGATGTGTGACCCGAATTTGAGACGTAAATTTTGAGTTTTGGAAATTCAATATACAAAATGATATCGATGGTGTACAATTGAACAATCGTCTTTTGTGTGGAGTTGGACGTTTAGTATATTATTTAAAGGTATGGAGTTATAAGGACTTGTATTTTATTATTGGTAGAATCTTCGATTCACTTTCAAAAAGAGATGGTCAATTATTAATCAAGGTAGAATGGTTTGCTGGGCTATTAACTTGGAATTTTGCTTCTTTTAGGGTAGAGTCTGGAAGTAAGATTTTATATTTCTATCTTAATAAGACCACGGCCTGCACAGCTCTCCCATTTGCTTAATTTTGAGACATTATATAATTAATAAATGTCTTAAGAATAAAATAAGCCTAATAAGTCACTCTGGTTTTAAAATGTTGAGACATTATATCATTAATTAATAAAGGTCTATTAAGACTAAGACAAGCCCACGTCACTCTAAGTTTAAAAGTTGGAATGAACCACAACGGTCCCATACCGCCTTGCGACTTACCTGCAAGTTGCAACCCACTAAAAACATAACGCTGTAAGCTCAGTCTAGATAATTGATTTGTGGCAGTGGCAGTCAAGTTAGTTCCTTTAAAGGTTTTACGTGTTTCCTTGGTTTGACAGCATCCTGACACTTACTACACCACCCCCACGTCCTCTCAACCATCTTTAATCCGACCAACTACTTACTTAACACCTGTAAACCTAGACAACAGGTCAAACTAGAGCTGTCACGTGACAAGATGTCGCTGGCAGGTGTCCAGGTGACAATGTATCAAGCTTGTTTAATAAGCTCTTGTTTAATAAGCTTAATTAGCTTAGTTTGCTAGCTTAGTTTGCTAGCTTAGTAAGCTATAATGGTACAGTCACTTACTTTCCACTGTGTAGATTAGTGGATAAACGCTAATAATAACGCTAGTAAATAATAAATAGTAATATTGTACACACATTGTAAAGTTACAAAAGTTCATCGAGTCATGCAAACTTGCGTCATAAGATGTTGTAGTGACGTCACTGACAGTTTGTCGTGACGTCACTGACAGTTTGTCGTGACGTCACTGACAGTTTATCGTAACATCAGGTCCCATCCTGCTGTCTTACACGTAATATTTCATTAACTAATTGCTAGATCTAGAGTGAAGATTTCACGTTAGTAGGCTTCTCATCAATATTTCTTTATTGCTCGTGCTATAGTGTATATTACATGAGAGTTATTAAATAGAGATGAAGCAGCGAGAGTGACTGCTGTTAGGAATTTGTATACAGTGTACCTATAATAGTACACATCATGATCAGTGTCGTATGTACACAGTGGAAATAAACAACACAAAAATGTATTTTCCTTGTCTAACACACGTGGTAATCAGAGAACCATGAGAAAATTAAAAATAATATTGTGTTTTTGAGTTCAAACCTCACTCGGATGACAGTTCCTTATTTTGTTTCCTCAACATTATGAGTACACTAAACGTTCAATCTTAGCTATCCTGTACCTGCTCCGATAATCGTAACCGATAATTCGTTTAGTAAAGTAACGAAGTAACGAAGTAAGTAAGTAAGTAAGTAAGTTACTGTTTATAACTATTTCCGGGAATTATATGCACTAAAACTCGTGGACACTGAGAGCTGATAATTTGCAGATTTTTCCAAGCGGAATCGTCAATAGTTATAATATAATAATACCTTGGCTAATGAGTGCTGAGCGCGATAATTCCCGACAGCTTGCTGGAGGGAACGCGCGGGCACGAAATTGCCAAGGTGTTATGTATTATAGTATACTATTACCATTTTTGCGACAGATAATCTGATATTATCTCTTTAACATTATTTAGTATTTTTTGATTTTATGAGACCAGTGTTTTGTTTTTAACTTTCTGTTCCGATGAGGAGAAAAAGTTTTATGAGGAGAGCCGCTCAGACATGGGCATCGTATTGTGTAAATCATTTAGTTATATTTTATACAATATCGCATAGTACCGGGGTAGTAAATACAGTGTTTCGTTTCGTTTAGATGAAGTCTGTTTTATCCGTATCGGTATAAAATTCACTAGATACATAAATTTTACCGAAAATTTTACTACGATACAGTAAAATGTAAAGCAAAATCTCTTAGACTATTAGCAGATTGATTAGTGGTTTTGTTTCTCTCTATTCTCACGTGAGTCAAGAAACAGAGTGTAGAACAAAAACTAGTAACATCAGACAATTTCATTTTAACCTTTGTTTATAAGCGTCAACTTACTTTTATACACATTAATTAATATCTTTTAGAATTTAGCTGTTAATATAGCCATATTTAATGTTAAAGTGAACATCAGGTGATCCGCCCTCGTGTCCACCCTTTTAGGAAAGTACCGCCCTTGTGTCTTACGCCCTCGTGTCCTCCACTCTTGTGTATACCGCCCTTGCGTCTTCCGCCCTCGTGTCCGGTTCCCAAGAAGCAGTATCAAGCCTCTTCTAGTAGTAGTGTGATAAAAAAGAGGCAGTTTACTTGGATGTGAGCTTAATGCTGTTGACATTGCTCTCTTGAGGAGGGTGCTGGAACTTTACCTTACAACCTTTCCGGAGATGGGCACCAGCATGTTAATGTTAACAGAAAAATGCCTAAAATTTGGGAAAATGCCGCCACCTAGGTGCACTTAATCACATCCTACATCACTTGCTACTAAAAGTAATCCTACATTAGTTGTATGCTACTATCGGGAGACGTAAAATACTCAAAACTCCGATATAACAACTCTATACTTGGAATGTATTATCAGCTTTAACATGACATGCTGGTATTCAGTAAGAAAGAGTAATGTGGTGACATAGTACTCCTTTTCAATTGTACTCCTTTTCAATTCACTTTTTATGATAATACAACTTATGCCTTTAACTTTAATGCCTTTTTTATTTAAGAACTTTCTGTAACACAAAACTAATACTGTCGAATCTCCCTTTGCGAGGTGGTGTTCTTTCGTCAGTACTACTATCACTGATTGAGTAACCAGAACTGTATACTTTCCTCAGAAATTGAAACATTCCTTTTATTACATTTTTACTAACAAAACCTGTAAACGAACCATTGCAAAAACCAAATGGTGCCTGATACATGGTGGTTCTATAGTGTATTAATTTCAAATATTGTACTCCGAAGAAATCGGATTTTTGCTTCATGGGCCAAGATGCACTGCGACCAACATGGGAATTGGGTGAAATTGGAATGATGGGCATTGTGCCAACAATATCACTGCTAGAAACACCTTTAATGTGGTTAGGTACAGAGAATAAAGATATGTATAAGGAGTGAACGAACCACCATGTATAACATGATGGCCCAGAATAAACGCTATGTGAATCCTCTGTAGATTAGAAAACAACTATTGCTGAACCAGGGTTGAAAGTGTTTGAAGGTCCGTAATAAGATCCGTATCATACTACTGTTACAGACTCAAAATATAAACACAATCTTACCGGAATTTCCACCTAGCATTTAATAAAACCCCTTACCCCACAGCAGGTTCCTCACCTAGCATTTAACAAAACCCCTTACCCCGCAGCAAGTTCCTCACCTAGCATTTAACAAAACCCCTTACCCCGCAGCAGGTTCCTCACCTAGCATTTAACAAAAACCCTTACCCCGCAGCAGGTTCCTCACCTACCATTTAACAAAACCCCTTACCCTGCATCAGGTTCCCCACCTAGCATTTAACAAAACCCCTTACCCCGCAGCAGGCTCCTCACTTAGCATTTAACAAAACCCCTTACCCCGCAGCAGGTTCCTCACTTAGCATTTAACAAAACCTCTTACCCCGCAGCAGGTTCCTCACCTAACATTTAACAAAACCCCTTACCCCGTAGCAGGTTCCTCACTTAGCATTTAACAAGACCCCTTACCCCGCAGCAGGTTCCTCACCTAGCATTTAACAAAAACCCCTTACCCCGCAGCAGGTTCCTCACCTACCATTTAACAAAACCCCTTACCCTGCATCAGGTTCCCCACCTAGCATTTAACAAATCCCCTTACCCCGCAGCAGGTTCCTCACCTAGCATTTAACGAAACCCCTTACCCCGCAGCAGGTTCCTCACCTAGCATTTAACAAAACCCCTTACCCCGCAGCAGGTTCCTCACCTAGCATTTAACAAAACCCCTTACCCCGCAGCAGGTTCCTCACCTAGCATTTAACAAAACCCCTTACCCCGCAGCAGGTTCCTCACCTAGCATTTAACAAAACCCCTTACCCCGCAGCAGGTTCCTGGCCAGCGGTTCAGTATCAACATTCCTCACCGCTTCTCAGTTTACAACTACAAGATCTTCACATTCTGTGACCACTGCGGGAGCTTACTGTATGGTCTGTTTAGACAGGGCGTTAAGTGCGAAGGTATGTTGTAGTTAAGAATTATTTTATTGGATATATTGTTGTTAAATTAATCTTATTTCGCCTCTAAAAAGTACTAAAACAGTATTTAGACTCGCGAGTCGCGTACATTAATTCAGTCAAGCAAAAATTTAAATTTTATGCCATTTATTAAAATCAAAATGAGGGCGAAACAATTTAATTCGATATTTAAAGGAACTTAGAAGCCTTATGCGTAGTATGGTTGTCACTTTTTAAATGATAACCATTGAAAATGAAATAACATCTGTTCGACATCTGTACGTCAACATCCTTTTTAACTTGTCAATATTTTGCCACCGCCAGTAACATATTATTCATATCGTTGTCAACGATTCGTTGACAATTTCATGATATTTTAAATTCAAATATGAATCTAAGTATAAAAGTGATAATTTGTGGCAGACTGCCAAGTGTCAATATTGTAAGAGGAGGTATAATGAGACTTAGTGGACAATATGTCGGATGTTTGCTATGTTACAAAATATCTTGGAACAGACATTGGTACATCAGTACATCACACCTACCCGCATTCTTTCCACTGAGAAATTATTGGTGTGATAGTAAGTAAATAGTTGATAGTCTCTTTGCGATCAATTATACAGGCGACCGATATGAAATCACCCTCACCCTCACCCTCACCCTCACCCTCACCCTCACCCTCACCCTCACCCTCACCCTCACCCTCACCCTCACCCTCACCCTCACCCTCACCCTCACCCTCACCCTCACCCTCACCCTCACCCTCACCCTCACCCTCACCCTCACCCTCACCCTCACCCTCCCCCTCACCCTCACCCTCACCCTCACCCTCACCCTCACCCTCACCCTCACCCTCACCCTCAACCTCACCCTCACCCTCACCCTCACCTCACCCTCACCCTCACCCTCACCCTCACTCTCACCCTCATCACCCTCACCTCCCATCACCCTCACCCTCACCCTCACCCTCACCCTCACCCTCACCCTCACCCTCAACCTCACCCTCACTCTCACCCTTACCATCACCCTCACCCTCACCCTCCCCATCACCCTCACCCTCACCCTCACAATCGCCCTCACCCTCACCCTCACCATCTCTCTCTCTCTCTCTCTCTCTCTCTCTCTCTCTCTCTCTCTCTCTCTCTCTCTCTCTCTCTCTCTCTCTCTCTCTCTCTCTCTCTCTCTCTCTCTCTCTCTCTCTCTCTCTCTCTTTCTCATGAGCTAGGCTGTCTAGCTGCCTTATTTGGCCTAATCGCTACCACTTGGTAAATTGTATACAGGTATATACATTAAGTAACAAGAATGATAGATGATATGTAAACTTGACGGCTGTACTGAAATTGTTCAGAAGTGATTGGATTAACAGCCCTGCCAGGTAGCAGGTAGCAGGTAGCAGGTACACAGTTAGATGTCAGAACGGGGTGTCAGGCTCAGTTTCACTCTGGTTCTTACGACTCAATGGTTACAGTGGCCTGCTAATACTGTCGCCGGTCGAGATGTTTTCGTTCAATGTCTTATAATGACAGTTGAAAGATTCTGTGAGTCATGTGAAAATCCCTAGCATTTCATTGGCTGACCCCAAGTCTCGTGACACTCCACTGTTCACTGATTGGGTGAGAAGGAAGAGTGCCTATTACTAAAATGTTTCCGGAGTGCCAGTACGTCCAATCTCAAATTTCAGACCTGTTCAAACCATCCTAGCTCTAAAACCTATTACCACATACCAGTTCAGAAACGCAGGTGCACTTAAAGTCTTGAATTTACACTTACAAAGTGCAATTCTTGGATTCCCAAGATAGTCCTTTCTCTGGAAGCTATGTTATTGTGTCAATAGATGATGATAGGCATGGTGTATTAATTGCAGTAGCTGGTACTATGATCACTATTGTCTGTCTAACAGTGTTTTGATACTTTATGTAAGATTTACTGAGAGCTAAAGGTTATCTGCTACTCTTGCAGAATGTTAAATTCTATACAAGTTAATATATGTACACTTTTATGAACCAGGGTCGCCTAATATTAATAAAATGAGAGTATATGCTGATGCCGGTTGGAACTACTTCATTAATTACGTCATCAGGCAGTCAAATTTCGTGATTTCAGTTCATTACTGATTACACTTAACAGTTAGCAACCAATTCATTTCTCAGACGAAAACCCATTTATTGATCATCGTAACTGTAACGTAATGGTTATAAACTCATAAACTAGCGATAAATGTGGATAAATCTTAAATATCTTTGGTCAGGCTGTAGCAGTATTTGAAGTCGTTGTTATATTCCAATTGTGACTGTAAAATTGAATAAAGTATCTACACATAAAGTTGATGTGGTTCAAATTTACAATATATTGTAAGATTAATTAGTGAGATTAGATTATATTATGGACAAAAGAAAATACTATAGAAAATTACTGATGAAGTTAGTTAAATCGAGGCGATGTTTTCTCAAAATTTGCGGCGGATTTGTGGTGGCCCCCATATTCTTGCCCCCATTTGTGGCGGGTTTTGACCCCATCCTATTTTTTCCGGCTTAGAGTGGCAAAATACATGATGGGGGCAAGATTCATATCCGCCACAAAATCTGAGAAAACACCCTATGGTTAAATCAAAGTCCCAATATTTCGAGTTGATGAATCCAGATTTTTGGAACATTTTTGGAACATTTTTGGAACATGTCCCAAAATTGTCCCAAAAGTGTCCCATGCATTTATTTGCCCTAATAAGCTCTGAATAGTGCCAAACATAATTGTAAATGATGGATATAGGTAAAAACTAGGCCTAAGAGCCATCAAAACTCAAATAACATTACCGAGGTTCATGGAATGAACGAAAATGAACAAAAATGAATATTGTCCTAAAAATGCTCAGAACGGTTTAAAATTGGTCGGAAAGTGTTTATATTGGTCCTGGGACCACTCAAACCAAGTTTGGGAATCACTGCATGTCTAGAACCGATGTTACCTATGTTCCAAAATGTTCCAATTTTGGGACAATAATCCTCCTGAGAATCCAGATTTTTGGATCATGGGCACATCGAAGTATTGGCTGTATTTAAGTGCTGGGAAGCCTCAATTCGGTTTTCTAAGATGGATATAGGTAAAAACTAGGCCTAAGAGCCATCAAAACTCAAATAACATTACCCAGGTTCATGGAATGAACGAAAATGAACAAAAATGAACATTGTCCTAAAAATGCTCAGAACGGTTTAAAATTGGTCGGAAAGTGTTTATATTGGTCCTGCGACCACTCAAACCAAGTTTGGGAATCACTGCATGTCTAGAACCGATGTTACCTATGTTCCAAAATGTTCCAATTTTGGGACAATAATCCTCCTGAGAATCCAGATTTTTGGAACATGGGCACATCGAAGTATTGGCTGTATTTAAGTGCTGGGAAGCCTCAATTCGGTTTTCTAAGATGGATATAGGTAAAAACTAGGCCTAAGAGCCATCAAAACTCAAATAACATTACCCAGGTTCATGGAATGAACGAAAATGAACAAAAATGAATATTGTCCTAAAAATGCTCAGAACGGTTTAAAATTGGTCGGAAAGTGTTTATATTGGTCCTGGACCACTCAAACCAAGTTTGGGAATCACTGCATGTCTAGAACCGATGTTACCTATGTTCCAAAATGTTCCAATTTTGGGACAATAATCCTCCTGAGAATCCAGATTTTTGGAACATGGGCACATCGAAGTATTGGCTGTATTTAAGTGCTGGGAAGCCTCAATTCGGTTTCTAAGATGGATATAGGTAAAGACTAGGCCTAAGAGCCATCAAAACTCAAATAACATTACCCAGGTTCATGTAATGAACGAAAATGAACAAAAATGAATATTGTCCTAAAAATGCTTAGAACGGATTAAAATTGGTCGGAAAGTGTTTATATTGGTCCTATGACCACTCAAACCAAGTTTGGGAATCACTGCATGTCTAGAACCGATGTTACCTATGTTCCAAAATGTTCCAATTTTGGGACAATAATCCTCCTGAGAATCCAGATTTTTGGAACATGGGCACATCGAAGTATTGGCTGTATTTAAGTGCTGGGAAGCCTCAATTCGGTTTCTAAGATGGATATAGGTAAATACTAGGCCTAAGAGCCATCAAAACTCAGATAACATTACCCAGGTTCATGGAATGAACGAAAATGAACAAAAATGAATATTGTCCTAAAAATGCTCAGAACGGTTTAAAATTGGTCGGAAAGTGTTTATATTGGTCCTATGACCACTCAAACCAAGTTTGGGAATCACTGCATGTCTAGAACCGATGTGACCTATGTTCCAAAATGTTCCAATTTTGGGACAATAATCCTCCTGAGAATCCAGATTTTTGGAACATGGGCACATCGAAGTATTGGCTGTATTTAAGTGCTGGGAAGCCTCAATTCGGTTTCTAAGATGGATATAGGTAAATACTAGGCCTAAGAGCCATCAAAACTCAAATAACATTACCCAGGTTCATGGAATGAACGAAAATGAACAAAAATGAATATTGTCCTAAAAATGCTCAGAACGGTTTAAAATTGGTCGGAAAGTGTTTATATTGGTCCTATGACCACTCAAACCAAGTTTGGGAATCACTGCATGTCTAGAACCGATGTGACCTATGTTCCAAAATGTTCCAATTTTGGGACAATAATCCTCCTGAGAATCCAGATTTTTGGAACATGGGCACATCGAAGTATTGGCTGTATTTAAGTGCTGGGAAGCCTCAATTCGGTTTTCTAAGATGGATATAGGTAAAAACTAAGCCTATGAGCCATCAAAACTCAAATAACATTACCCAGGTTCATGGAATGAACGAAAATGAACAAAAAATGAATATTGTCCTAAAAATGCTCAGAACGGTTCAAAATTGGTCGGAAAGTTTGGGAATCATGTCTAGACCCGATGTTACCAATGTTGTCACAATAATCCTCCTGAGCATCCAGATTTTTGGAACATGGGGACATCGAAGTGCTGGGAAGCCTCAATTCGGTTTTCTAAGATGGATATAAAAAACTAGGCCTTATAGAGGAGCCATCAAAAGTCGAATAATATTACCCAAGTTTATGGAATGAACAACGAACATGAATATTTTCCTCAAAGCACTCAGAATGGTTAAAAAATGGTGGCAAAGAGTCAATATTTTCGTCCAACAGGGTCTTAAAGTTGCATTCAGAATTATGTACAATTAAACAGAAATTATTTTATTGGGCAAATATTTTTGTTTTAATAATCCTCCAATATTTTGATATAAATGCTTCCCAGCACTTAAATACAGCCAATACTTCGATGTGCCCATGTTCCAAAAATCTGGATTCTCAGGAGGATTATTGTCCCAAAATTGGAACATTTTGGAACATAGGTAACATCGGTTCTAGACATGCAGTGATTCCCAAACTTGGTTTGAGTGGTCGCAGGACCAATATAAACACTTTCCGACCAATTTTAAACCGTTCTGAGCATTTTTAGGACAATGTTCAATTTTGTTCATTTTCGTTCATTACATGAACCTGGGTAATGTTATTTGAGTTTTGATGGCTCTTAGGTCTAGTTTTTACCTATATCCATCTTAGAAAACCGAATTGAGGCTTCCCAGCACTTAAATACAGCCAATACTTCGATGTGCCCATGTTCCAAAAATCTGGATTCTCAGGAGGATTATTGTCCCAAAATTGGAACATTTTGGAACATAGGTAACATCGGTTCTAAACATGCAGTGATTCCCAAACTTGGTTTGAGTGGTCGCAGGACCAATATAAACACTTTCCGACCAATTTTAAACTGTTCTGAGCATTTTTAGGACAATGTTCATTTTTGTTCATTTTCGTTCATTACATGAACCTGGGTAATGTTATTTGAGTTTTGATGGCTCTTAGGCCTAGTTTTTACCTATATCCATCTTAGAAAACCGAATTGAGGCTTCCCAGCACTTAAATACAGCCAATACTTCGATGTGCCCATGTTCCAAAAATCTGGATTCTCAGGAGGATTATTGTCCCAAAATTGGAACATTTTGGAACATAGGTAACATCGGTTCTAGACATGCAGTGATTCCCAAACTTGGTTTGAGTGGTCGCAGGACCAATATAAACACTTTCCGACCAATTTTAAACCGTTCTGAGCATTTTTAGGACAATGTTCAATTTTGTTCATTTTCGTTCATTACATGAACCTGGGTAATGTTATTTGAGTTTTGATGGCTCTTAGGTCTAGTTTTTACCTATATCCATCTTAGAAAACCGAATTGAGGCTTCCCAGCACTTAAATACAGCCAATACTTCGATGTGCCCATGTTCCAAAAATCTGGATTCTCAGGAGGATTATTGTCCCAAAATTGGAACATTTTGGAACATAGGTCACATCGGTTCTAGACATGCAGTGATTCCCAAACTTGGTTTGAGTGGTCATAGGACCAATATAAACACTTTCCGACCAATTTTAAACCGTTCTGAGCATTTTTAGGACAATATTCATTTTTGTTCATTTTCGTTCATTCCATGAACCTGGGTAATGTTATCTGAGTTTTGATGGCTCTTAGGCCTAGTATTTACCTATATCCATCTTAGAAACCGAATTGAGGCTTCCCAGCACTTAAATACAGCCAATACTTCGATGTGCCCATGTTCCAAAAATCTGGATTCTCAGGAGGATTATTGTCCCAAAATTGGAACATTTTGGAACATAGGTAACATCGGTTCTAGACATGCAGTGATTCCCAAACTTGGTTTGAGTGGTCGCAGGACCAATATAAACACTTTCCGACCAATTTTAAACCGTTCTGAGCATTTTTAGGACAATGTTCAATTTTGTTCATTTTCGTTCATTACATGAACCTGGGTAATGTTATTTGAGTTTTGATGGCTCTTAGGTCTAGTTTTTACCTATATCCATCTTAGAAAACCGAATTGAGGCTTCCCAGCACTTAAATACAGCCAATACTTCGATGTGCCCATGTTCCAAAAATCTGGATTCTCAGGAGGATTATTGTCCCAAAATTGGAACATTTTGGAACATAGGTAACATCGGTTCTAGACATGCAGTGATTCCCAAACTTGGTTTGAGTGGTCGCAGGACCAATATAAACACTTTCCGACCAATTTTAAACCGTTCTGAGCATTTTTAGGACAATGTTCAATTTTGTTCATTTTCGTTCATTACATGAACCTGGGTAATGTTATTTGAGTTTTGATGGCTCTTAGGCCTAGTTTTTACCTATATCCATCTTAGAAAACCGAATTGAGGCTTCCCAGCACTTAAATACAGCCAATACTTCGATGTGCCCATGATCCAAAAATCTGGATTCTCAGGAGGATTATTGTCCCAAAATTGGAACATTTTGGAACTTAGGTAACATCGGTTCTAGACATGCAGTGATTCCCAAACTAGGTTTGAGTGGTCCTAGGACCAATGTTAACACTTTCCGACCCATTTTAAACCATTCGGAGCACTTTGAGAAGAATGTTCATTTTCGTTCATTTCTGGTTATTCCATGGGTAATTTTATGCGACTTTTGATGGCTCCTAGGCATAGCTTACGGCTATATCCATCTTAGAAAACCGAACTGCGCATTCCGAGCACTAAAATACGGCCAATACTGCGATGTACCCATGTTCCAAATTTATGGATTCATCTACTGAATATTTCATATCCGCTCGTTGGCACGCGCGAAAACAAATTTAATTGACAAATCCGCGCAACACGTACGTTCGCACATGTATATCGTGGATTAGACTGTCAATTAACGTGGTTCACGCACGTTTTCACGGAGAGAGCGGACTGAAAATAAACAATAGCTTTTTATAAACCTGTTTGTCAAGATTTTTATACAATTTCGAATTTGTTCAACAAATGACCCTTTAGACATGAAATGTAGCGATGTAAAAATTGCATATTTGGAGAACAGACCTTTGGTGACTCCGACTAGCGCTGTTCGGTATTAAATGTTATCCTTACTTCTTAAAGGTAGCACTATCACTGAATCAGTTCCACCCAAATTCAGGGCGATCCAACTACAGTAAAACCCCGAATTACCGCGCCACGATTCACCGCAAACCCCGATTCACCGCGGCCATCTCTTCCCCCAAATAGGGCTTAACAATTAACATGTATAATGTAAACAAACAAAACCCCGATTTACCGCGAACCCCGATTTACCGCGGATGTTTTCTTTCCCCCAAACTAAATCGGGGTTTTACTGTACATGGTAACCATATTATATTGTATTTTACGTCCGGTCCGGTTATGCACTCCAAGATATCTCTCTGAAATGAAACATAATACATACACTTCTTGAACTTATACTAGAGTAAAATTCAAAGATAACAGCAATTTTGTATTTTTTTAGATATCAATTCTCTCAATCAGTAAATTTGAGTTATGATTATAAAAGTATAAACTTACCCCACGTTAAAACCCTTAGTCACGTGATCAGTATTCGCAGCGTGTGAGATGAACGTTCACAAGAGATGTGAGAGGTTCGTGCCCCCGCTGTGCGGAGTAAACGCCAGGGAGCTGGGGGAGTTACTGGGTAAGCTGGGCACCAGCAGTCACAACCTCTCCAACCACAGCAATAAGAAGATGGTGTGTACTCCAGTATGTATTATTGATGTCTTTTCTCTTTTTAGTGTAAGTTTTAATGTAATTTTTAGTGTAAGTCTCTGAATTTAAGATTATGTTGCTTTGACGTACGTTAATGATAAGAAATGTTATCGAAAGTATAAACCGCCTCCCCACCATTACTCACGTCTATAACAATAGTCGTGGTCACTAAGACGGGACAGTGGGAGGGAAAAGCTTATCTCCGCAAGTTTCACACATATTGCTACTCTGTACAGTTGTTAACATCCTTTACCGGATCTTCTGTACTCCCCTGATCAACTATTGCTGTGATTAATATGGTTTCACGTGCTACAAAGTAACAGGAAAGCTTTGCACAGTAAATAGTCTGTTTTATCGCACTGATAAGAGTTAGTGAGTTATAGAGAGCATTACCTGTCATATACCGCAATCTTTGATTTTGACGAGTTGTTAACTGTAATTGTTACAGTCATATGTTAGTTACTATTCCCAGTATACGAGGAATGTTCTGGAAGTGTTTATTATTTGTATATTTACTTTATTTGTGATGTTCGTTGCAATATATGAAGGAAAGGTGTTCTATAGATGCGGTGTGATACAGTTGGAAGCGAATGTGAGTTTGGTTCGTTGACTTCATGCTTTGCATTTTATGGACGTTGACTCAGCTGTTGTCAAAATTTGATACCTCACTTTTTTATAAAATAGCTTTTTACTGCTGGTTGCTCAAAAATTTACTTTATCTTAAGATTATCATACCCACAACTGGAGGATTCAGTTGTTTACTTATTTGGCAATTACTGTTTTGTGAACATTTTCAGTAAACCTGCTAGGGGCCATCTACTTAGGACGTCCGCCAAAATCACAGATTTTCAGACCAACCCCCTCCCCCTGTCCGGGTGTGTCCGAATTTTCAAAACCACCCTCGCCTCCGGACGTCCGGATTTCCAGCTAATAAAACCAACTCAAATTTATTGTTAATAAAATTCGAAAATCCCCCCCTCCCCCTGTCTAAAATTCCAAAACCACCCCCTCCCTACTTGCCGGACGTCCTAAGTAGATGGCCCCTTAGTCGATTGTCAATTAACTACTTGCTATTTGTCAATTTTCTCATCTTGCACTTTGAACACTCCCCATCAAATAGTTAGTTAATACATTTTATTTTACAATAAATAACTAAAAGAGCTATGATTCATTACCAGCTGCACATATATCTTTATTTACTACATCTTCTACATTTTACAGAATTCGACACTCTTACTAAGTATCTAATTAGCTCTTACTAAGTATCTCTTATACTTTTAACATTTCAGTCTGTTCTGAAAGTCCCAAGAAACCTAGACAAAGAATTAGAACAATTGACGTTAAAAAGTGACACTTGCAAGAAGAAACAGCTCGAAGATTTTACGTTTCTGAAAGTCCTTGGTATGGGTAGTTTTGGCAGTGTGAGTAACTTTTATTTGTTTTAATCAATTTGCAATAAGAAAAGGGTCTATGCGGCCGAAATGGTTCATATCTAAATCATCTTTTAAAATTGAATCGAAATATAAATTTTAGCGTCCAAAGCAGTGATTCGAAGAAAATTTTTCTAAACATAAAATTTCTGCTAAAATTAGTGAAACCTCGCTGCCTTCAGGTGTTATTAGCCGAAGAGAAAGCATCAAAGAACGTGTACGCAGTAAAAATCCTGAAAAAGGATACAGTGATTGCTGATGATGATGTTGAGTGTGTAATGTCAGAGAAGAGAGTCCTTGCTATGGGATGTCTGCATCCTTTTATGAGCCAACTTTATTGCTCTTTTCAAACCGAGGTACTGGGGGCCGGGTTTCAATTCGAATTCGCTCATTTTGAACAGTGACCATTTTCAATTTTTTCAATTTTGAACACACGTAAACTTTCTCAAACCCCTTTATATCACCGAAATATTTCTGCAGGACAGACTGTTCTTTGTGATGGAGTACATTAACGGCGGGGACCTGATGTTTCAAATACAGAGGTCAAGAAAGTTTGAGCTCAGTAGATCGCGCTTCTACGCGGCTGAGATTATCTGTGCTCTTCTTTTCCTTCACCATAGACGCATCGTTTACAGGTAAGTTTTACAGTGCATCTTTGTAATTCTCGTGATAAAACAACGGAACCGTGGTTGTTTGAAGGTTACGTTGTTTAGATAAGTTTGATTATACAATATACAGGAAGCATATCTTCTAGAGTAGGCTTTATCAATTGTTCCCCTTTTTAGGGTTCCCCTCTCCGCATGAGATACTCAATATGGTCCCTCTGTATAAGAAATCTAAGAGATATCTGGGTTTAAACACCTCGTTTGATTTCACCACAATAACCACCAGGGATCTGAAGCTGGACAATGTGTTGCTATTTCACCACAATAACCACCAGGGATCTGAAGCTGGACAACGTGTTGCTATTTCACCACAATAACCACCAGGGATCTGAAGCTGGACAATGTGTTGCTATTTCACCACAATAACCACCAGGGATCTGAAGCTGGACAACGTGTTGCTAGACGCGGAGGGGCACGTGAGGATTACAGATTTTGGGATGTGTAAGGAAGGTATTGATGACGAGCATCTGGCGTCTACCTTCTGTGGTACCCCCGACTACATTGCCCCTGAGATTCTCAGTTAGTTGTTGTTCTTTATATTGCAGTGTTTGGTTGGGAGAACCACTGCTATCTCGACAGACAAATCTTTGTTGTTTTTTCAAACATTAGCAGAAAATAACTCGTTCAGTTTGGTGTAATTTGAACCAGTTAGACACCGTCAAGGTGTCTGACTCACAGTTGATTATTATTTAAATTGAAGTTGGGGGTCGTTCAAACATAATCAGCCGAGAGGTGGGGGGTTTCCAAATGATTACGCTAGTGTAATTTTGACACAATAGCTGTGTATAAAACTGATTTATACGGAGGGGGGTGTAAAAATTGTTCAAAAGTGATTACGTAATATGTGAACGACCTGAGATGATGTGTGTGAGATGATGTGTGTTATTATTAATGCTTTTCATGCAAACAAGTGAAAACGAATCTTTTATGTCATTTTTCCAGGGTTTGGACTGGAATTGCCCGCTTAAAGAACTTCCATCGCGTTACATTACATAATTTTCTCAATAAATGTAATAGATTTGTAGTGTTGTAATTAGTTTAAAACTAAGATTATGACTTGTTTTATCTTCAGGAGAGATACCGTACGGGTTCACAGTGGACTGGTGGAGTCTAGGTGTTCTGGTGTTTGAAATGCTCAGTGGACAGGTAACTGGTTATTTCTGGACATTTTGGCTTAAGTGTTAGCAACACAAGTCACAACATCTTAGTCTTACTGTCCTTTACGAGTTAATCTCCTCTGACGTGTGACTATAACAGATTTGCCAAACAGTAAATTTTATATCGTCTGTTTGCTCTTAGACTATTCACTTCATGATCTACAAAATCAATTTTTCAGCCGCCATTCGAAGCCGACACCGAAGAAGAACTATTTGATAGCATTATGAACGACGAAGTGTTTTACCCAGCCTGGCTTAACAAAGACAGTGTTTCAATATGTAAAGGTATATTTAATTTTAATATGTAAATAGTATGGTTATTATACTGGTTTAAATCATTACATTTATTAATAGACATTTATTTATAGCCGTGTTAGTTGGCTATTTAGTTCTTGCTCACCTGTTTAATTTTAAATGGATAACGACCTATTTGCTGCTGTTCACTATGTATTAGGTACTGCAAATTTCCAATAATTTCCACGAGAATCAATCAATATATATTTGACGATCAGCAATATCCCGTAGGTTTACTGATTAAAGATCCTCTGAAACGACTTTGTAGAGATTCGAGCAAAGCAGAGAGTCAGGTCAAGTCACATGCCTTCTTCAAATCTATAGACTGGAATGCTTTAGAGGCTAAACAAATTCCTCCTCCTTTCCGTCCCAGAGTGGTAAGTGGTGGGAATTACAACAAAAACTATACGTAAATTACTTCTATTAAATAAAGATAAGTAAGTAAATTAATATTTTCAATATTAGCTATACAAGTTTTACAATATTTTATATATTTACAAGTTTTACAAATACAAGTTTTACGAGTTTTACAAGCTTTAAAAAAGGTTTTATGATCATGATTATGAATTATGATATGCCTTTGACTAAATAAAAATTAACGACGACATTTTTACTTTCAGCGAGGTTCCCGAGATTTTGATAATTTCGACAGCATGTTCATAGCGGAGAAACCTACCCTGAGCCCCACACCCCAAAGCGTTCTCGACACCATACCCCAGGAAGAGTTCGCCGGCTTCTCCTTCGTTAATGTTGGATACAAACCAGAAAGATAAAAACAATCGGTTTAATGACAGTAGATAAGATATCAGGATGTTAGTCTTATCGTGGGTTGGAAGATTATAGAATACGTCTCTTTTTTGATTAATTGTCTGGGGTTCTGGAGGGTTTCATGGCTGAAACCATCCAAAAGCGCTTAATTTTTGCATGACCAATGTTTTCTTCAGTTATTATAAATTAAGATTTCATTTATTGTTCTTTTTTTCGATGTTGCTAATTTAATGTTGCCTTTTATTTAAATTTAAGTTATGTAATGATATTTAATCAGGTTATTATTTAAAGTGATTTCGTGTTATATCTAATGTTCGATATGTAATTGTTGAGCTGTCAATGTCAGTTTGAATTGAGATTTTAGTACAACATCTAAAGTCAGACGAACATGCTTCATTTTGAATACATGATATTTAATGATGATCAGCTAATGTTAATGAGTTAGAATAAGTATGAAATGCGCTGGTACCACCTATTTATGGTGAAAACGAATATTGTTCTCTTTTTCGTGGACATTTACCATTTATATGTCCGCGGTTAATATTTATTACTATTAGATTTTAAAATATAAAACTGGAATACTTGACTTAAAAGCTTTTGTTATCAGTTATCACATTCAGATCTCAAAAAATGCTGGCAATTTAATTTTTAATTTGATTGTGCAAATGCTTTTGCTTATGCTGTGCAGCATAAACCATGATGATACTGTCGCTTAAACTGCTGGCAAGAATACATTTTTGTTGCAATTATGAATCAGAAATTCAATGCTGACGATATAAATAATATGGATTTACAAAATATTTGATTCCAATACTAATTCAATGGTTTACTAATATGGTTATTCATTTACATTTATATATCTGAACATGAAGTAAAGTGTATCAATTGTATAGAGTATAAATAATTAAATCACAGTGCTGGCAAGCACGACCGCTGCCATTATACTCACCATACTATTTACCCCCTATAATAGTTATATGTATTAGTATTACTATTATAGCTATAGCCTCGTTCATACTGTGTATTGGTCATTTTAATTATGTTGGTTTGAAATAGTTGGCTAACAACAACATGTGAGTCTTAAGATTTGCGTGCTATTTAATTGCTCAACATCCGTAAACAAATGTAATAATCTGCTTTTTCGCCCACATTTACAAACTCTACTGCCCACGAGAAGATACTCCTGTAAACATTCCACAAGCTTCCCAGCTCCACGTTTGGCATTGGTCATATTTTAAAATTGTTTTTGTTAACGTAATTTGTGTGACCCGTATGTGTTCACATCCGCGGTCGAAATGCACGGCCTGAAATGCAAATGTCGGTCAAATAAATGCGTTTCCATCCTGTCTTTTTTCATACTTTCAGTATTATGCAGGACGATTTAGTAAAATTCCTAACTGAATCAAGTTATATTTGTAATTATTAGGTGGAGCTGCGCCTTAGAACATTAAACTTTTTTTCAAAACTTATTAAAACCCATGACGGTATATGTGGCCGCAGTCTGCACATAGGTATTACTATTTACTGATGTCGATGAAAAACTGTGCATGTGTTTGAATTAAGTTATTATAAAAATTACAGGGTATGATTGAGATACTGGGAGGATGCTCACTGCTCATCTCAGTCTTCATCATTTTCGTAGTTTACCAGATCTACACCGTGTTAACCATAGCTTACACTCGCTCCCTCTACAACGGCATCCCCTCCCCACCCCTAGACAACTTCTTGAACGGACACCAACTAACCATGGTGGCTGCTAAAAAGAGCAATACTTTCCTTGATTTGTTTGGGGCCTGGTGCAAGGAATACGGGAGTTCTATCATGGTGTTTGCTGGCTTCAGAAACATCCTCTTTACCGTAGATCCTGATATGTTCAAAGTCGTTACCAGTGATTTGAACAGTTTTAGTAAGTTGGATGATCTGCCAAACCGGTCGCTGTTTGGTCAGAGAATTGCCGGATGGAACAGTGTGTTGACTGGTGGTGGCCATAACTGGGCTATTAAGCGGAAGATCATGAGCAAGTTCTTCGCCAAAGCAAATATGAGCGAAGCTTTTGAGTTCTGTAAACCTTTGATGCAAAACTACGTCAGGTCAACTCTTGCTCAAAAAGTTGGAAAAGGTCAAGTTCTTGAGCTGCACGAAGAGTTTTCTACAATCTTTTCTGCATATCCAGCTGCTGTTGGATTAAACGGCTTTGATGATCCTAGCACCATTGGTAAAAATATTACCAAAATTTTGGAAATGATTCCCAAGCAACTCGGGAAAATGAGTTTGACTAAAATTCTTTTTGCAATGGGCAAAGAAAAAAACGAAACTGTTGATATGGTCATTGCCATGAGGACGCGACTCAAAGCCATGTCTTTGGAAAAATCTCAAGAGATGAAAAGTTCTGACTCCGAGACACAGCCAACTGATATCTTTGGACTTCTGATCCAAGCAAACGAACGTTGCGATTTTCAGAGAGACCTTCTGGACGAATACGTGGTGGATGACATCCTGACTGTTTACCTGGTGATGGACAACATGGTGAAACAGCTCGCATCCCTCTTCATCTTCCTAGAATCACATCAGCAGGTGTACCACAAAATGGTGGAGGAGATACGCCAGTTCACCCTGACAGACTGCACCTCCTTGTCCCAGCTGAGGTACACAGAGAAGGTCCTGTTGGAGTCACTGAGGATGGCTCCTGCACTTCTTAGAGGGACAAGACTGCTCAAAACAGCAGGTGGGGGACCCACCAAGATAGGTCACTACATTCTCCCCAGTAACACCCAGATACACTTCAGTCAGTATCTTATTCATCACAATGAGGACGTCTGGAAAGCTCCGGATGTTCTAGATCCGGAACGCTGGTCCGGTGGTTTCAATCCGGAACCTTACACTTACATGCCCTTCCTGGCAGGCCCAAGAGGGTGTCTTGGTAAACATTTTGCAATGATGACCATGAAACTCACTCTTGTTTCTCTACTTCAGAAGTTTGATTTCACTCCTAGGCTTAGTAAAGAAAAGAAGCCAACTATTGATCAAGGTATGGCTGTTATGAGAATCAGGAATAATGTCGACTATGAGCTGGTACCATTCTGTTAAAGAAATATTATTAATATGTCAGATGCATATCAATATTAATATGCATAATTATTAATATTAACATTAACATGATTAAGATGTCAGAAGCATCACCATTTTATCAATTGTTGCTTTTATCATGGTTAAACGTAATCAGACTTATGCTTCGCTCTGTGCTGAGTAAACTGAATAAGCTAATTTATTTTCAAAATAATGAATTGATCAATATTTACACAGTTTAAATCAATTCAAATCTGAGACAAATGAAAATTGAAAAATGAAGATCCAACTTACCTCATCAGTTATTAATCATAATTATAGTTTATTAGCCACTGAATTACAATTAACTAGACTGCAAAAATTCAATCGATAATAACTGAAGCTTGACAAATACTGTAGACTCATAGTTGACAAATCATCATGTATATCTATCAGAAACTAATTCCTGACCTGGATCTATTTTAATCAAGGCATAAACCATATCATTATCAATGAAACATAAAAACTGGTAAAGAAAATCATAGCAAGAAACGAAATAACAGGAATAAAATGAACCGTTTTCAATCATTGATGTCCAGGTACTCTCCATCACTCCAACATAATGAATCCATAGAAGTGGAATCGATAGAATTCAAGTCATTCTCTGAAATATCTGGAATCTGTAATTCCTTGGGAACAAAACAGTTCAAAAGCGATTCTTCTGCTTCCTGATTATCCTCAAGCTGTGACAGTTTCTCTTGAACGGAACACGTTATCCTTAAACAGCGAGCAATAAAATCTTCCAACTCAGGGTCATGATATACGGGACACTCGGACCTCACTTTGGGTTGTTTTTTAGGATCTGAACATTTGGCAGGAGACATTTCTGTGGAATTTTCTGCCGACTCCGCGGTACTGTTCAGCACTCTTTCTGAGGCTATTTTCCACGCTAACTCTGTACGGAGATGTTGGGCGTATTGAGAAACATCCCCGTCTAAATTGGTATTTGGTTCGAATAGCTTGAATATTTCGTTGAATCGAAGAGGCAAGTCGTCGTCTTCGTCCTCCTCTGAAGTTCTCATTTCATTTAGTTCAGAAGTTTCACTGTCGTGAGGATTGTGTTGTGGCGAGTCTGGGTTCGAATTTTCTTGTTCCTTGCAACATTGCTGGGAAGGCTCAGGATTCAAACTGGATTGATTTTCAATCGGCAGCCCTGAAACGACCTGAATATTACAGACCACACTGATTGCTATTCCAGATTCTGAATCCTGTCTTGAGATTTCTCTGGAGATAACTTTTGTCTCTATAACCGAACTTTCGCTAAACATTTTCTCCTCCAAATTTGTCGCATCACTGAGGTTTTGCTCCTCTAAATTTTTCGCATTACTTAGATTTTGCTCCTCTAAATTTTTCGCATCACTGTCATCGAGACACAACTTCTGAAACACTCCAACCTGTTTGTCAATGTGGTTGGCTCGGGGAGTGTCTATGTCACATCCACTATCCAATGATTCAACAGATCTGTTTCTCGAATTCCTCTCAGAAAGATCAAGAAGTTCCACTTTTGGACTACGGCGGTGAACTTCTTCATCGCCACTTAAACAGTCTCCGATGTTTATGATTTCGAAACCTTCCCCGATATCACCAACGTCTTCAAGTTCATAAGTCTTGGGCGTTCGATTGCAATTATACGTTGCTCGCCTATCAGGAAGAGACCCAGTTTTACAGTTTTTGTTGGTTTTACCAGTGTTATGGCTAAACGAATTAGGCCTCTGGGACATTGACAATGTCGGATTTGGTTTTGATTTGTTACGGACATTTTTGGTGATGATTTCACTACATTTTTCTTTGAGTTGAGAGAATCGGTTGTGCTGTAACACTCTGGTCTTCACACGAGGTTGGTCAGTACACGCAGAGAGATCTTGATCCGGTCCCTGATGAAAACGCGTTTTAGAACTAACTAGCGGTTACTAGACGGCGCTCAGCCTGTCGAGCCGCCACATCCTCGATCGTTTTATAAACACTAAGCCTGGGGTCCCCACTCCCCAGGTAAAACTAACAGCGGCCAACAGTGTTTGCAGAACATTATTCAAAATCACCCTCATCTAAAATATAGTTCCACCTATAAATACTAACCGGTTTAACATCAGCAGTGGATATGATATACTCAGGACGCTCCTCACCCTCCTGCTGCTGGAGAGGGTGTTTGTGTACCTTCCTCGACTCTCTCAACACCTGAACAGTACGAGCCTTAAAGTGAGCCGCACCTTACCCAGAAATTGGAGAATTGTTTGGTGTTTAACTGATCTGTCAGCAAAGTTTTTAAGTTTAAACTGGTGAATGCCCCTAGTTGTCAAAAAACGAAGGTAGCTAAGAATATTGACAATAGAATTTGTAACTTTGAGACTTTGTTTGAAGGAAGCAATTACAAGATAGAAATAATAGTGTTACAGGGGGGTCTAATGTTAGAGCGCAAACATGTGGGCTTATTTCTCAGTCACTGCCTGTCAGATTTAAATAATTCCTTCTGAAATGACTTGCTATCATCACTCAGTATAAGCAATTTAATGTTGAATGGGTGTGGTCTAAAACAACCGAATTAATAAATTTTGGCGAAAGGATCCTCGAATGAGTACTCAATGAGTAGTCACAGTAACTGCAAAGTGACACGTCTCTAACAGGTCCCTCCTCATCCACAGCACAATGTTTTTATTCAATTAATTTCGACTTTTCAGTGGACAGTTTTAAGATCATTCTACTTCATTTTATCTATATTTATGTTAGTTAAGACTTTGGAGTAAGTTCGGTATATAACAGGGTACGGTAATTTACTCTGGGCAGCCCTGTATATTTTTATCTTGATCCTGGACCTATGTGGCAAGTTTGCTCCCTGTAAAAACAACCAAAATTCTGAACAAACCTGGCGAACAGTGCTGATCAGACGCTCATTAGCATTTTGTCGTCTAATCTCACTCTCAAACTTAGCAACCAAGTTAGAGACTTTGATCACCTCATTGGCCTCTTCTTCGTCGGACAGCATGTACTACCACTACAATAATCGGAGTGTAAAATGTTTAGTGATTATGAATGTTTAATCATAATGTTTAATGATTATGATTTATGAATATGGTGATTAAAATGACTAATAGAACTGCCATGTACTCCTTGTGACACTAAATAATTAAATTCGATCTTTACATGTTTACAACGATTGGTAATATCTTTGAAACTTTACGTCAGTAAAAATTGTGTTTAATTACGCCTTACTACAAGTCGCACGAGACCGCCCTACCAATCCTTTTATTAAACAGAATTTAATTGAATTACTCTTCATTGAGATACTATCAAAGATAATAAATATATAACATACGAATACTAGTCTAGATGTTGATGGAGGATAATTTCTAATTGCATGATTATGACTGGCTTAAATATTCAGCGATATAATAAACTTAATTACAAATGCGTCACGAGAATCATAGACTGCAGAAATAATGAAAGTAAACGCAAGCAAAGTTATCTTATATCGACCAAACTAAAATGGTCAGGTACAGGATTAATATGGTAAATATACAGATCATATTATGCAAATGAGTAACTAAAGATCTTGTCTGCGGTCTAGTTATAATAAGATGAAAATATGTCGAATTCAAAACAAAGCTCTTATCTCGTTAAAGTGTAATTTCTCGTTAAAGTGTAATATCTCGTTAAAGTGTAATTTACATTAAAAATTGCTCATATTATAACACCCAAGATTTTTTGTGCCAGCTAATTTAATGAGAATCAACATTTGCCATTCTGCCAGATCGTTAGAAATTTCACTTCAACAGAGTTGAACAGCGATCATCGAAAGGACAGATCGATCCTAATTCCGAGGATCAATATCAAAGACGTGGAAATATTTATTAATTTATAACCTTATCAAATCAACACCGGGGCTTCGGGGTCTCCTCTTTCACTGATTTGTACGATCACAGGCAAAATTTGATTAGAAAAGTGAATGTAATTGTGACCACACAATACGTGAGCGGTAAGAATAAGCCACCGAATATTATTTAAACATATAAGTGAACTGTAAATATGCTAATCCAACATGGGCTGTGGTTGCACAAACCGTACCGAAAAATACAACGCAGTTTTCCAATCATAAAAAGGAAAACCATGACAGATGGTAATCAAATTTTCTATATCCAGCAATATTCCAGCAAGATGAATTATGATTACCATCTACCGAGTAGAACACAAATATAGCCTTCGTCGAGAGCTAATTTATGACGGATTTCGTGCGAGCTGTATGCCTCGAGCTCGTCTATTTGCGAAGAAAAGTACCGCTGAACTCTAAATCAGGCTTCTCAAGGCTGCAGGAAAATGGAGACGAAGTGATGTGTACAAAGAGGGGTAAGATTATCTAATTTAGCAGAGAGGTTTGGTGCATGTCAGACGGGAAATGAGGTAGTCTCTGGGAGCTAATTTGGGGGCAGGATGATATTTAGCTGGGTGGTTGAGCGTACAGATTACACAAGCAGCATACGAGAGAGTTAAGTTAATCTTAATGATCCACATTAATTTTGACGGGAGTCCCAGCGGCTGAGCATGAATTACGCAATCCATGTGACAATGGAGGGATGTTATGCACGATAAAATCAGCGTGCTTTAGGTACGGCGAGTGTGCTACACGAGCTGCTTGAGATCAGCTGCAAAGCCATATTCACGAGATCCCTTCACGTTACAACTGGCTGGCTTCTTGCCCGAACTGCAGTCATTTCAATAAGGAAGGATTAGTGACATTTGACAGATAAAAGAGCGATTATATGACACTCATATTAATCGAGGAACTGCTTAGCAAATATTTATTATCTAATGTGACAGCTTGTGATAATGATAAATGTGAAATAAAATACTACCCTCTATTTTTCTAAATGACTGAACGGAGCCAACAAAAAACAAACAAAACACCGAATAATTAGTTCTAAAGAAAAAGTAGTGAACATAATAAGATGGAGGTAGATATAATACCTTTACCGATAGTTGAAATTATACATATGTTGGATTAAAAGGCGATATTTTAACATCTCGCTGTAAAGGTATGCCAGTTTTCTAGTATGTCTGCAGTTATGAGATACACAGTTGAGTTGTATATATCGTGATGATAATGACGCCAGAAATGAAGCGGAACTTGGGGACGTACCGGGCACGACCTAATACTTCACTACAAACTGATGATTGATACACGATGGAGACATGATCACGTACAATGAGCGTCCCAAAATAGAGCTTTTTTTCTGGAGGGATGTCAGTGTCTTGTCGATGGAAGAGTTTGCTCTAAAACTTTCTTGTAGGTACAGGAAAAAAACGTGCGTCAAAGTAAAAAGTATGGCTCAAAGAAGAAAATCAATAGTGTAAAGGAGGATATCAATTATGGTGCCTGGCTCCTTTGGCGTCGTTTTAAAAATAAACACGTACTACTCTGACACTTTCCAGCGCTTATTATAACGGTAACTGACGGAACACTAGAAAAACGTTAAAACTCTAAAACACTGTCTCAAACTCCACCATCAGCAACTTCAAGGTTAAACATAGTGTAAGTAGCAGAACGAACAAATCTGTTTTTACACGCCGCCTGACTATTAGCGGCACCCCTTCAGGGGGGTCGAGCTTGGGGCATCGTTTAGTCGGTGTTACACATGATACACGGCCGGGTGTGTAGGAGACATAACACGTTACAAAGCATATTACAAAGGAGCACAATAGACAGATCACTCGGAATACTACTGCTCACTCTCTGATCGGGACCACACTTATAATAGCTCTGGTCAGTGTTCCAAAATCCAGTCTGCATCCGTGATACAATCGCAGCAATATTTAATAACTTAACTTTAGTAACTTAACTTTAATAATTTAATGTTCGTTTACCGCAGCAGCTTCAATCGTTTGCCACTTTTCGCGTGGTACGTGGTAAAGTGTGTGGCTAACAAGTACAACGTGAGATTTCACTCAAACGAGAGAACACAATCCCGTCTTTAGAGCTACTAATTAGCGGAATTTTCACGAAAACAGCGTCAACATTTGTATAACAGCTGTTATAGTGACTACAACATTCCAACCTAACTGCTACATACTATCTGGCCTGTTGGAGAATGTTTCGGACCAGCAGTGTGGTGTGAAATGAACCCTAACCCGTAAGTGTAGGCCCGCTTCCGACTACAGAAGAAGTCAAAGAAGTTTGTACTTTCGTTCCGTACATGTATATAATAATACTTGCGAAGTAAGTAACAGAGGACTTAACATGAAGCTGTGGATCGAGCGGCAGTCGTAGCGTGAAAATGTGTTTTTCCAAAAATGAACAAAGAAAACTTAGGACTGGCAAATTGGGCAGTCTATTCTTAGATTCCGCTCAGTCACTAAGATTAGTAACAACAAATATGATATCTTACACTGAGCGGAGCGGAAACTTTGGCGAAAAATCAACGGATTCACAAATTCTGGATCTTACCACAATATTCATCGTCTACTGTCCGATCATGGAACAAAACATTAACAATTAAAAGAGATGATTTACGTTAAGAATGATGAGCTTATATAGAGTATATGTTATACGCAATGCAGCGAGGAAATAAGGAAATAAGATCTATAATACGTATTATAATATACAAGACTAGATGCACGCTGAGCTCGAAGATTATACCATACTTGTAATACAAAGCATCTAGAAGCGATCTGAAGTGACCTTCAGTCTGTATCTTTGTGATCTAAATTGTGATAATTTAGTGTTGGCAAACAATGCAGCACCTTGTGATCCAGGTGCTTTATAGTGTAGTATTATAAAATACATGCAGAGAAAGAAGGGCACTAACGGCTGCGATCAAGTACTAAGCGCATGGTTACCAAGTCCTAAGTACATGACATATTTTGTAGAACTTCTAATAAAATTAGTGCATGTACAAATGTACAAGTGTACAGCCACAACCGTCTAAGTGCCTAGTAGCAGTACAAGTATTTAAAGTAAAAGTACAGTATAACATAAACTGTTGTAGTAGCATATAAACTGTAGAAACATAAACTGTACAACAATATACACATTACACAACAATGTACAACTTTATAAACTCCAAGGATCAGTAGCTGGGTGACTAAAGACGGCGCCAAATTACAGTCCTCTCCTCTCTCTCCGCTAACTCCCGTGTAACGACAACACTAGGTTGTAAGTGTGGGATGCAGAAGAGGAGATTTCAGCTCTGCTTTGACGGCTCTTAAGATCAGGATCCTGCAGCAACTCCAGTGTCGTGGCTGTCTGGGGAACCGGTCACTGCGGCGGAAGTCACTGCAGCGGTGGACGGTACAGCGGAGGACGGTACAGCGGAGGACGGTACGGCGGTAGTTTTCAAAAAGGTTGGACGGTACGGCGGATCACATGACACCCACTTTACTTTGGACAGTACGGCGGTACTACTACTACTAGAAACTGTACCTAAGACAGAACTTACACATTCAACTTGTTTCTAAGTTTTGTTCTAGATTCGCATTATAAGTTTTATTTTTTCTTTTCTCTTTATCATTTTGTATAATTCTTGTTAGTTTAGTTGTTCATTTTTTTTATTCAGGGCTTTGCAGACAATGTAAATCGAGAATATTGAGTTGTTGAAAATCAAAAAGTTAATATAACTTGACACACTCAATAGCAATAATATCTAAATCCCACAAATCATTATCAAGAAGTTACAGCAATCAATAATTCACATAACACTTCGTGTTCTCATGCCCTTGTTATTACCCATTGCATCTCGGCGCAGTGATATGAGATCTCACCGTAACAAGCTCATCATGCAATCGCTTAACCACCGTTGTGCAGACCGGACGCGATATGATACGAACCAGAAAGTGGAACAAGAACTGCTTTTAGTAATCACAATGTATATGTTAAACTTTATCCAATTTAATTTTAATCAAAATTAATTTCGAAGTAACAAAGAGGAAAATAGAACTTTTTAAAGCTAATCGATTTTGTTATATTAGCAGTGCTAGGTCTATCTTATAGGTACAGTTTCTAGTAGAAGTAGTACCGCCGTACTGTCCA